CCATGCACTTGACTCATTTCCATGCGATATGCTTCACTGTGCTAATTGTAGCGCATCCAAACACAAAGTATGTGGCTGTCCGTGGCCTGTTTTCTGTCATGTTAACGGCGGCTGCCACCATCATCCGTATTTTCAATCCTAACTCTGTCCCCTCTGCATGCTCACCATTGCTCATTGCCGTTCCGCCATGGCATTTATTGCTCCGCCTATTAGCACGCACTCCCGGGCACAGACTCCACCGAGCTGAGCTGCAGCGACAGAGCGAGACAGCAGCATCCTTTTTGTTTATCTTTTTGGCTTTTTGGACAGCAGCTGCGCGCCTCCAGCCTCCAACTTCCAGCTTCCATTTGTTACACCCCTGTCGTTCCGCAACCAGCCTGTCCTTCCGCTGCAATTATGTCGCAAATTGTCAAAGCCAACAAGTTCCACAAGTGGATTGTTGTTGTTGTTGTGATGTTTGTTTGGTTGTTTGGTTTTTGTGTTTGTTTCATTAACTGCGAAAAGGCGTTGCGAATCCCAATCCGAATCCGTATCCGAACTGAATGCCGAAGCGTAAACGAACAGCCTCCGCTCACGCTCTCTCTGTGTCTCTTTCAGTGCGTGGCGCTCTCACGGTTGGCTTTGGTTGGCTGGCAAAGAGCTAACCACTCAACGCTGCCCTTGCGGAATTGGTTTCGAGCGCGGGGGCAGCCGAATGAGTGCTTTGCCTTTTGGTGTGGGAGACAAACTGTCTAATTTGCTTCCCCCCGTGACATACACGCAAGTCCCTCCCTCGCTTCTATTAGCTATGATTTATTAAGTGAGGCTGCCTCTCGCTCACTCGCTCTGTCTGCGCTCTATTTGTGTTTTTTTTTTAGTTGGGCGTGTGCAATTTGATTAGAATTTGATGTTTGGCGCTGTCTGGTGTGGCTTTTTTATGGCTACATTAGAGTTTCAAGTTGTGCTTTAAATGAATTGACTGAAATTAACACTCTGCATTCAGGAAAAAAGACAGAAAAGGGAAACCAACCCCCAGTTAATTGGTTAAACATTGCCATTGTCAACCCTGGCGCCAAGAGGCGACATCTCTCTAGTAGCACTTTACTCAAGTCCCTCATCTTGAGCCGTGTTGACTTATGTTTCCACTTTAATTCACCGACTGGGGTTGTGTGGTGTTGGTGCTACGAGAGAATTATCATCAAAAATGTAAATTTATGTTTGGGTACAAGCGATTTATTATCTGTGTTCAACGACAATTGCTCTCTCTCTATCCCTCTTGCTCGCTCTTTCTCCGTCTCTCTCTCGCTGAGTCTACCTAGACATAAATGTTTATTTATGGGCATTTGCCGGTTTTCAGTTATTAATTTTTGGCCAACTCGCCGACGGCTAACATCGTACTGTGTATTTATTTTTTTCTGCTGCAAATTGTTTTTCATTGCATACAATTTTCCTCACGCTTTCCTTTTCGGTGTGCGGCTCTTACGAAGAAAATTAATTATTTACGTGTAGCTTGTAAAATAAAAAAAAACCTGGCCATCTTTATAGAGTGAAATAGGTGAGAGAAAAGGCAAAAGCCAAGTAAAAGTTCAAGCACGTGTTCGCTTTAAACTGTTTCTTTAGTTATTACAGCTTTGTAATAATCTTGCTGACGTCTATCAATGGAAACGTGTTATGCAAAGTATTTACATAGCGCTTACAAAATTTGCGTAATTTGTGAAATATTATTTATAATCATTTAACTATATTTAATGCGGGCTTTGAACCCGTGCTTTCGTGCTTTGGGGTGAGAGATTAGTCATGATGTTGTGAGGAATTATTGTTAATTTAAATGCAAATTTAATGGTAAAGAATTAGACAGCATTAATCATTAAAAAAATAGTTAATTTTGTCTTCAAATATTTCGCATGTTTTCAAAGACGATGTATTGAACTGTAAATTTAATTGATTATAATCATTAAATAATCATTTATACTAAACTCTTGCTATTTCATCTTAATCAACCAAATTTAGTGGTCTTTAATTTCCGTTGACAAAAGTTGATACCATTTCCTACAACTTTTACCAAATTTTACATAATTTAGTTTCTATAATTTCCGATTCATATTTGATACGTTTTCGCTTTAGCATAATTTCTTTATCTTCGCAGCAATCTCTTAATGTGGAATATATTATGCAAATTTAATTAACAGACCCATAATTTTTCGTATAACTCGATGAGGACTTTCAATTCGTGTGCGATTCGATTCGTAACTTTTTATAGTTTTTGCATTTCTTTTCACTGATCTTTAGATTAGGATTAAATATTAGAAACATTGATATTGATGTATATATTGACAAATCCGGCACAAGTGGCTGTCATCATTATTGGTTTTTAATTTACGTAGTTACATCAACTCAAATATTGGGTATATTTACCAATATGTTTCCATTTATATTGATGTGTACTAATGTCGTCTGACAGCTTCTCATGTTTCCAGCTGGGGCAGTGTTAAAAGATTTGTACTTTTTTTATTCAATGATTACTCACGATGTTGACAAGTGAATGATCTGTCTAGCATTCTCGACGAAGTCGCTAATTGAGATGACGTTCAAAGGTTGATCAATCATCTGAGAGGTTCATCTACAATATAAGCATATACATATACAAATATAAATTACCAGAGAACTATGTATTTTACTTACTAATCAACTTATAATATGAAGTCAAAATCTGTGATATTTGCCGAGAATAAAGAAGGTATAAATAATCTAGATTAAATTTGATTTAGAATTATCTACATACGTCTATAGTCATAGTTTTTATTAAAATGTTTATCAAGCATTACAACTTAACACAGATTGTCAAATTGTTTACATTATTTATTATACAGACACAGATCTTGTCATCCTGTTTAAGAATACATTGCATATACCTAATGAGAGATGATATCCTCTACCTGCACGTTGGAAGCAAACAGCTATCTCTAGCTGTTGTTCTCTCTCTCTAGCGCATATAGGATAGTTATCTTAGATTGGTATTCGATGCAATTCTCTCAATTGAAATAATTGTCCTCTTATTTTCGAAGTACGCTCAGTTGTTATGCTCGTTGGCTACGTTTCTGCGGGCTTAGTCCATTCAAATGCTTTTTGAAGAGCATTTGCCGCACACTCTTCGATTGCATCTATTTTTACTTAGCTTGGACCAGGCACTCGTCTTTGATCGGCCGTTACTTAATTCGCTTCTTTTTCATTTATTTATTTATTTCTTGCCTGCGTTGTCTGTTGTATCTCGGCTGTGTAATTTACACTTGACAACGTCTCGGGCACTTCCTCGCCGTCTATGCCGTCTCGTATATCTATTTGAATCTATCTTCTTGGGCGCTATCTTGCATCTCTGTTTGGCACCCACTCGGGGACTCATTGGCTATGCAGAGTCGGCGGTTTTCATGCATTCGAAATGCTGAGTTTCCGTCTCTTTTATTGTCCAACTCTGCATAAATTACGATCACAATTGTACAGTTCTTGTTGTTGTTGTTGTGTACAGTCTTATGCCAATTTGGGAACTTGTAGCCAATTACCATATGGTTTATACGTTGGGTAACGTCAATACAATTCATATGCCCTTATCTGTATCCCAATCACGTTGCTCGCCTTTTCGAATCGTTTTCGTTACGCGTTTTTCTTCGGCCTTTCTCACTGCTGCCGCATCTTTATTTTGCATTTTATGCATTTACAAGTTGAACTCTAATCGAAATGCTCTGCATTTCTTGGCCCTGGATTGGATCGGTTTTGATGCTCTTCCCTTTGCCTTGATTCAGTGTTTGCCCCTGTCATGCGTCTATTGACGCTATAACAAGTGACTATCAATCAATGCCAAGATCTTGAACCAAACAGCCGTTAGCAGTGTCAAAGATAAGGTCTGTCCTCGAATTTTCGAATCTTCAATCTCAATTGAGGCGTTTTTTTGTCAATCACACGTGTCGCCAAAATTTGTTACAATTACCATAAGCGGTGAATTGAATTGGAAAAATGAGTTAGTTCAGGAAGATTTTTAATTTTCTAACGATAAATAAGGTAAAATCATATAGTACGGAAGTCAAGTAAGATCTGAATAATAAAATAAAAAGATCTCTGGAGAGATGACAATGAAGAGAGAGAGAAGACACGAAGAGGAAGTGAAGACAAATTCACTCACGACTCTCAGATGTAGCAAATGTTTTAGAGCGTAACATGATGACTCGAGTAACATTTGCTAAGCCTAATTTCATATTCACAGTTCTCTAATTAATCTCAATTTGAGTAAAAATGAGATCAACGTTTGTTTTGCCAAGTCTCTTGCATAATTATATTGATACTATCTTAACACAATTCGCAGTCATAATTAATTTGAGTCTATACAAAATCTTCGCTGTTTTGCTATTGCTGCTGCTGGTGTTGGTCTACATTAATGAAACCGTTCATTTGGATAACAAAGACAAATTATTTGCTCCAAATAACAACAGGCGGCATGAGCGACAAGCGGCTGCAAATGTTGCCACTTGGCTGGCCACGTTGGACGGACCTTTCCTCACACTTCATAATGCCATTTTGTCTGCTTAACTGGCCATAAAAATTTTTTATGCTGAACAATAGTTAATCAGTTAATATCGCTTGCTTTCCGAAAGAAATATGATTTTCAATGCCTTGTAAGCATTTTTCAATGCCAATTTCATGCATAACTCAAGGTAGTCAACGCGTCAACGAAAATTGAAAGATCAGCACTAACATGAAAGAGTTTTTAAAATACATTAACTATGCCTAACAGCTGTAAAGGACTGTGATACGATAACATTAGCTTGGGTTATGTGACTCGACTGTTAATTTGGCACTATTAAGTGATTTTTAACAGTCAAAGCGTTAACAGCATTACACTTTAGTATGTTAAACTGATGTTAAGCAGCTGTTATACAAACGAAATCCTTAATATTATTGTATTATTATGCCCTATCAATGGCACTGCCTAATGCTTGTATTTATTAAATTGTTCCACCTCTCATTTGCAGATCTCATATAACGACGGCCTGCCCCAGGAGATATGTCGCCAATGTAAGGCGCAGTTTATAATGGTGGCCAAGTTCCGACGGCGCTGTTTGCGTGTGCAGCTGCGTCTGGAGGAGTACGCCAAGAAGATAGCCGAGCATAAACAAACTTTAGTAGCCAAGTTGAATAGCAGAACACAGTCAAATGATCTGCCTGCAGAGGATTACCTGCATTTGCCGGAGTCGCAAACTGAACGGAAGCGGCGGCTGGTGCTTGGTATGGAGACAGCACAGCCGGAACAGCAACCGGCGCCCAAACTAGCCAAGACTGAAGTCGATGTAGAGCTGCCGACAGCGTCTAGACTGCAACAGATACGAACGCGCAAAATGCGAATTGCCTCTTTGCCTGACACCAGAATTGAAGCTGAACCTGCGTCGGCAATAGCGACACGAAGTGTGTCCCAGCAGGGCGAAGCCAGGTTAAGGGAGGGAACTCCACACAGATCACCCTGCAAACGATCACGCATGCCCTGGAAAACGAAAGCGGCACGCAAACAGCTTTCCGAAACATTGTCGAGCTGCTCGATGAGACCCAACTGTCGAACAGACATTACGACATCGCCTGTGCTGCCAAGAGTCCAATTAATGTTTCCATCAGCGCCGAGTTCCGAAAATGAGACAGAAACACGCGATGGCCACACATCTCCGGAGCAGCTTAGCGATTTATCTGTTAATCCGTGTCGCGGCTTTGACAGCGATGGCCACAGCTGCTCGTCTTCAACTTCCTCCTGCATATCCGCTTCCTCATCAACAGCTGTGAGCGCCGGCCAAAAGGCGACAACGCCGAATGCCAAGCTGAAGTTTCCACCAAAACGTAGATCGCCCAAAAATCTCATGGTGCTACGCCGTGGTCGTCGAACGCGAGTGACAGTCAAGACAGTGCCGCTCAAGCGTTCGAGGCGCATTACAGGAAAGAAACAGAAACAGACAAGACCTGAAAATCAATTGCCCGAAAAACATTTGATAGAACAGTCGAGCAACAATTTAATAGAGAAGCCGTCCGTGGATACAACCGCAAGTGAGACATTAGAGAAGTTGGCAAGTAGCTCTTCGGATGAGGCGCCGCACAGCAGCCCGGATGGTTACACTGAAGTCAACTCGGAGCATCAACTTCCAATTCCAACAGATGAGCTGCAGGCTGACTTAAGTAAAACAGAAGCCAACGCGGTAAAGACCACTGTAGAAGTAATAGGATTTAGGGAACAGCAGGAAGCCGCCGCGACTGTGCAGGTGCAGTCACCAGCACCCTCAGAGCCAATCCAATCCTCTCCAGACAATGAAGTCAAAGAAACGCAGGCCATAATTCCAAAAGAAGAAGTAGAGAGCATATCAAAGGAAGTCAACGTGGAAAGCGAAGCTGAAGTTGTAGTAGCGATAGCAGCATCGAATGGAATTGCAGAGTCAGCTGATTCGACAGTACAATTCGAGGAGCTTACGTCGTCCACCACGGAGCAGGGCAAACAATCTCTGACGACCGACGGGACAGCAACAGAGTCAGAAGCAACGAATGACGAGCAAGAGCTGGAGGAAGAGCCACAGTCTGACGAGGAGACCAAGGAGTCGGAGCTTATAGTAAGCATACCCTTGGACATGCTAGACGATGACCTGCAGCGTAAGTTATGCAGCAGCACTGATGCACTGGCTGATGTAGGGCAGCCGGACAACGAGCCCAAAGAGCCTGCGGAGGCAGACGATGTGAACAACAACGAGAATAGCGAGCATTTTTGCCAGAGTGCTACAGCAGATAGCTTCAATGCTGCTGTAGCACTCGCAACCAAACAAATTGAAGCAGAACCCAATGGGGGCGTGACGATAGTGACAACGCTAGATGACGATATGGAGTCACTGGAGCGATTAGCCAATATGCAGCAGAATCAGAATCAGCCAGTTGACGAAGTGCAGGTGCCACGTGCTGGCCATGCCAGTTCCATGGACTTTTTGGCCGAATTCGAAAAGCACTGCGAGAAGACGCTCAAGCTGCAGGCGCGTCAACCAGTGCCGCCACTTGAAGTGGAGCTCGAGCTGGTCGACGCCAAACAGCAGTTGGAGGTGGAAATGAATGATGTGGAGAGTACGCTGCATGGCATACTCAATGAGATGCAGGATCAGCATCTCTACACGCCTGTCTGTACGCCCATCGATGAGCTGCTGACGCCTGCGGATTACGTGGTACTCAATGAAACGGAGACGACAGTACCCACGCCTGCCCCGCCGCAGCTGTACGAGCCGCCAGCTGAGACAACGCAGGCACAGCAGCCACAGGTGAAAGAGGGAAATCTATTCGATAGCAGCAATTTCAGCAATGAGCTGATTGGCTTCCAAAACGATATGCCCTGCTTTGAGAACATTGAGGCAACGCCCGAGTCGGTGGCAGCGCAGCAGAGCCTGCAACTGGAGCTGACGCAGTTGCTCAATGAGCTGCAACCAGCACAACAGCCATTGCAACCGGTGCAGCAGCAACAGTTGCAGATACAGCCGGAGGCAGTTAGCTATGAGACACTGTATCCTGCAGCACTGCCCGCTCCCTCGGCGAATAGCAACAAGTTGCAACTGATCCAAATGCAGCCACAGGAGACGGTATGGCAGGCACAGGCAACCGCCGCCCAACAGGCGACAGCCACACAGCTGCAGTGGTCGACGGTGGGCGGCTTGGAGGCCATCAAGACAACACCTGTTGCCGGCGTGGATACTCTGGACGGTAGTGGCACAACCACCTACTATATCAATGCCAGTGATCTCTACCAGACGCAACTGCAGCCGCAAACGACGCAGCTGACGAGCGATGGCTATGCGCTGCTGGACAGCAATAAGAACTATGTGCTTGAGTCGCAGGATCAACAGCGATTGCCGCAGTCACAGCAGCAGCAGCAGCAGCAGCAACAACCCATCATGATACTCATACAGCAGCCTGAGCTGCAACAGCCTGTGGCATCCGCCAGCAATCCGCAGCAGCCGCCGCTGCATATAACTTATGGCGGCAGTCTGAGCAATGAGCTGCACGCCGCCTATCCACAACAACAATTGCAGCAGCATCAACAGCAGCAGCAGCAGCAACAGCTGCCACAGCCACAGACACAACCACAACTACAACGTCCGCAACAACAAGTACAAAATACAGTATTAGGCTTACCTGCTGTCGTGCCGCCGCCCACACGTGGCCGTCCACCCTTATTAAAGTGCCGTTTCTGTCAGAATGGACCACGCTTCTCCAGCAGCCTGGAATACAGTCGTCACATCATTGAGCTGCATCCGGCCGTGGCGCCATTCAACTGTCCACACTGCCCGCTGGCTTTTCCCGGGCGTAGCAAGCGCAATCAGCACATCCTAAGCCATCATATGGTGCAGCAGTTCCACTGTGGTCAATGCTCTCAGATGTTACCCTCGCAGCGAGCTCTAGATTTGCACCTGCAACGCTTCCATATGTCGCTGCCCACTGAGCCACCAGCTGCTGCTGGAGTGCGACTCGAGGAGGTTCAATTGCAAATATCTAATAATACCGAACAGCCTAAACAGCACCACCAGCAGCAGCATCCGCAGACACTTAGGCAACCACTGAAACAGCAGCACCAGCAGCATATGTCGGGTGAGTACTTAAATTAACTAAATGATAGCACAGGTTGTGTTTTGTTAAATATACAAATCGCATGTGGGTTATTGTTTTTATTGTTTTTTATTGAAATAACTTATAATACGAACTATTCTTTATCTAGAGAATTATTTCTGGCTATTGAAAATAATCATAGATGAAGCAGTATCTTTTTTTCTTTCAACACTTATTTACTTAGATTTCGTTTATTCAAACTGAGTGCAAAATGAACAGGTGCCATTAATCAATTAATTTCTTATAGTGTTTTGTTCATATGAACTAGTTTTTTAGTGTATCTTAGCAGAGTTTAACTTGGGAATTAGTTGGGTTTCGTACTTATTTTACTTTGAACTAGATTTGAGTCATAAAAAATGAATGTACTAGCTGGTTTCCTTAGTTCCTTTACGAACGGAACTAGTTCTTTTGCTTAATCTGTAGTATTCATCAGAATCTATTTAAAATGAGAATTTTCTTTTACGAGCTACTGCAATTGTATATAAATAGTTCCGTTAGTTCTCTTAGAAAGTTCCTTCCATCTTTTTTAAGTACTCATATTCAACTAGTTCTTTGTATACTGAATATCACTTGTATTGTAGTTTCCTTTGGTTCCTTAACTTGTTAATTTATTCAACTATTACAGTAATTCATTAGTTTAAACAAAGTAATAAGTTATTGACCAACTCCGTTGGCTATTACTAATGCTTACGCTTTCTTTATCCCTGTCTCTCTCTCTCTCTCTCTCTCTCTTACACCTTTCATCTGTCAACTATTTTTACCTGCGCATGCGTAGCATTGGAATTACAAACAAGCACCCAACAGCCACGCAAGACGCGCATACTGTGCTGCCCAGACTGCGAGGACTGTAAGTATCAGGAGTTAGCACGTGTGAGTCCGATTTTAACGGGTTTTTATATTTTTTATTTGCCAGGCTCTTCGGCCAGTGGACACAATCATGGCAGAGGACAGTCGTCATATGAGGAGCTGTCCAACTTGCAGCCACCGCCAAATGTTTTAACGCCGCCTTCGACTATCGCATCGCTGCCATCACCGCAGCCGGCGCCGCACATAACGCTGCCTTCGCCGGAGCAATCGGAGCCGGACTCGACGACAGCCACACTGAGGCAGTTCCGCAAGCGCTGCATACCCAGCAACTGTACGACAGCAGGTACAGCTTCCATTTCCACATCAGCAGCAGCAGCAACAACAACAGCAACAGCAATACTATCAGCGGCTCCATCGCCGTCTCCGTCTTCCTCGCCATCCTCGTCGACAATGGAAACGGGCGCCACACTGCAGCTGGGCAAATTACGCAGCAACCATCAGTGCGTCGTCTGCGAGAAGCGTTTCACGAATATCATTGCGCTGCGCAAGCACCAGCAGCTAGCCCATGACTCACAGACAACGATGCCCTGGGTGTGCGGGATTTGCAAACGGGGCTATCGGAAACGCACCGACATGGACAATCACATGAAGTCGCATGAGCCGAAGGGTCGGCCGTACGAGTGCAATGAGTGTTGGGTACGTTTTCCGGAGTTTAAGCAGCTGGCCATGCACAAGTTCACCGTCCATGAGCTGATCAAGCCGCATACCTGCGATGAGTGTGGTAAACAATTTGGTACGGAGAGCGCCTTGAAGACGCACATTAAGTTTCACGGTGGTAAGTTTTTGGGTGCTCGCACGCATGCGGATGCGGTGGCTAACCGGGTGCCGGTTGGATGCTAGCCAAGCTTTACTATAAATACAATACATATAAATATATACATATATATATCAATATATATATATATATACATATATATCTTATATACGCATAAATACTTACACATACCATATTCACATTTAGTTACATAAATACATTGTAAAAGATAAATTAATCGTAGCATTTATGGAACCAATACGAATAGCTCGTAACATTGTTTACTAATCTTAACCCAAAATAAACTTATTTTATTTATTGTTGTGCTAACAGTTTACACTACTGTGATAGTTCGCTCGAAAGGTAAAGGACAATGATCTGTTGTGAATGCTTAGCAAGGCGACTCTAGTTTTATTCGTATATCTTATGGAAAAGTACACAATTTCACTTCTTCTTTGCGCCTAGTTCGTAAACGCTTTGCTGGCTTGCAATGCTTAAAAATATTTAAGTAAACCAATTTCAATTGTGGCCTTTTGCGTTTTCAATGAAGAAAATATCTAATATTCCTATTAAACTATCCTAAAATTCAATCAAATGAGCTAATAATTGCTGGACTTTCCTTAAATTTTCTTGAGCAATTCACACAGAGCACAGCATGTGAGAAATTTAACCCAAGAACTAATCCAATTGCATCCAAATAAACTTTAAATCATATAGTCCACGTAACCGGAACTTTATTAATGTAAGTCCCTCGCTCATGTAAGATATAAACATTGTATATCAACGCGATTGAAATCGTTATAATTTACTCTGTCATTCAAGATCAATTAATGATCACGTTGAGTTGGGCATTAGCATAAATGAGGCACTCTTATATGGTTATCAATTAGTACTAAGTATTATTTATTGTATGTAAATGTATTTAGTTTGTACTTTGATTGCTTGTGGGTATACATAGAAACAAAACTAATGAGAGGGGAATACACAATACATTTAATATTTCAATAGATACATTTCTGTTTGTATTTTTTAAGCAAAAGTGGCTAGATTTGTAGCTGCCTGAAATGAATAATATACGTGTTCTCTGTCTCGTAATGCAACATGAAACAAAGAAGTCGGAATCCCATCATATTCGTCGCACTCGCTGTTGAAAATAATTGAAGATATCGTGTCGTTAAAACTATTTGTGTTATAATCCTCTTTGCCCCCTACGCTAGAGCTAGTGTATGAAACGGAAAATTCCAATTGGATTCTGTGCACTCTGTTACACAAACTGTTAACTCACTCGTAGACAACATGTTTTCAATTGTGTTCTAACGACACCACAGGCGAACTGTTAACTCAATTCATGTTAAATATTCAACAGCGGTATAGCTACAGAAAAAAACCCAATTGATTTCTTACAGAGCGCGGCTTCGATTGCGAAGAATGCGGCGATGTCTTCGTTTATATGAAAGATTTGCGCAAACACCGTCGCAGCCACAACAACGAATTATTTTACAAATGTGTCAACTGTCCGCGCACGTTTCTACATTTTACGAGTTATCGTGGTAAAGTTCGTAGGCCATCGAATAAGACATAAAATAAGTAGTACTCAAATGTAGTTTTTTATTATAATAAGCTCGATTGCCTGATATGCATAACACTTGCACCAGCTTTAGACTTTAAGGAGATTCTTTTAATAGTTGTTACAAATGAACATAATTAATTAATTGCATTTGCTTTCATGTGCAGCTCATATTAATACCCACCTGCCGCTGGGCGTTTTTCTCAACGACAAGATGCCTAGCAGCGTAAATAGCAAACTGGAAAATCCGGCGATGCCAGCAACTGTCGAAGAGTCATCACTGCCCTTAACGCCGCTTAGCAACTGCAATGGCAACAGTAGCAGCATCGATGATTGCCCAGGCTCCGTCGAACTGGTGGAAAGCAGCGTGACGCCTTCGTTGGACATGATTGTGGATACGCCATAACAATTGGCGCAACTTTATTATTTGATTTATCAGGAACCTGGAACGGCGCCTTCCTACTACTATTGCTATGCCTAGCAATGGGTTTCACTCATCCACAAACACACACATGCACACATACACACACAGAGAGAGAAAAACCCAACACAACATGAAAAACTGTTGCAGACTGCATTCAATGCACACTAGTTCTAAGCCACACACGCGCTTACTTAGTTACACATAAGTTCTAGTAGAGTGAAGCTTAGATCTAAAATAAAAGAGTGGAGGATTGAATTCATCGAACGATTGTAATATATATATATACATATAGGTACTACGCAGTACAGCAAAAAGAAAAAAGAAAAAGATTTGTGAATAGGAAAGTATGTATATACCTTTATTTTATTATGTAACCTCATTTCAGGTGCAAACAATATAAAAATAATTTTGTCTTCTGCAGTCTAAAATATTACATTTAAGATCGATTATTAGGGCCTATCCAAATATTTGCTCAGAGATTTAAACCACAAACACTCAGCCATTAAAACAAATATTTTCATAACGCATTTTGTAACGAATGAAACGAATGACATTGATTGAAATCTACTTAACTTAGTTTTTAAGAGGTATCCATTATTATTGAGTTTTCCTGTTTATGGGTAAATATTTGGCTGTCTGAGCTTAATTTTAACAAAAAAAAAATCATTTTAAATTTAGTTAAGTCTGAGCTCAACTTAATTTATAACTTTTATTTATAGAGAAAAATATCATTAGGAACAAGAACTAATGCAAAATTATAATTGTTTCGAAATTTGATTTTATTTATAATATAAATTATGTAATAAACAAATTATGTTTTAGAGTGCGATAACAAAAACAATTAATGAGTTTTCACATTCACATATTTTCCTTCTTTTTTCATTACACCAAACAATTTGAATTTTAATCGTAGTACCAGTCAAGAAATAGCAATGAGAAGGACATTACCAGCAGAAAGAACAAGGACCAGACGCGCAAGCCAGCATTGCGCTGCGTTGCCTGTCGAATCTGCTCGTTGGCATCCTTGACGTTCTCCGTGGTGCCAACTACGGCGCTCACAATGCGCTCGATATTGTGCTGTTGCATGGCAACCTGTTGGTAAAGAAATAAACAAAGTTTACCAGAGTTGAGAAGCAAGAATTACTTTCTGCTCACCTTCTCAGTGAAGATGTCCTGTAGCTGTGCTATGTCCACAACATTCTTTTCGATTTGTTCGACCTCCTCTGAGACGCCTTGCAGCAGATTGTAAATGTGCACATTTTCCGCCTCGAACAGCTGCATATCCTCCGCGCTTAAGGCATCCTCTTCATCATTCTCCTGCTGCTGCGCTGTCTTCTGTATGTCCTCATCTAGTGCAACTTTGGCCGAGGAATCAGCGCTGTTTGGCCCAGTTGGTCGACTGTGTTTGCGCGTGCGTGGTTTGTGCTGTTTTTCTGCCTTCGAGCTGCTGTCCAATTGCGATTCCTCCTGCTCATCATCCCACTCAGCCCAGCTGTCGTTGCTCCAATCGTTGTCCTCTTCTGCTGCTGCCTCAGCAGGCAACAGCTCTTCGTTGCTGTCGTCAACGCTACCATTGCTCTGTTGCCGCTTGGTTAGTTTGCCACTTGTATTGCCCGCTGGACGCACTGGTATCTTTTTCTTGTCTGCCGCCAGCTTGAGCAGCCTGTATGTTTCCAGCTCGTGTTGTACGCGATACTTTTTCTGATCTAGGTAGATTTGCTCGATACTGTGCAAATAGCTGACCAGCATATCGAGCACCGCCTCAATATGTTGGCGCTCTTGTGACTTTCGCTTGGCACTCTTCCAGTCGCTGCGCATCTTAGCCAGATGCTGTGTGTAGTACGTTACGAATTTCTCTGATTCGCGATCAATTAAATCACGCTCAGCATCCGTCATGTGAGTGGCGCTCTTCAGGTGCTGCCCGATTCGCATATATGCTGTGCGATTCTCGATGAGTACATTCCGGAGCGTCGTTATCTTGCTACACACATCCTTAGCCTGTTTGGCAAAGTCGTTAGTACCAGTGCTCCCAGTGGTCTTTGCGGATGCGGTGCCGAAACGTTGTTGTTTGTTGTCCTGAGCTTTGGCTTTGGCCACTGCCAGTTCAGTCTTGCGTTGCAATCGCACTGTCATAACGCTGGCCTTAAAGTGCTGCGTTATGTCCATGGTACTGTGCTTTAATATTTAAAGAATTAAATTAACAGAAGCAACAATTCAATTTGTAAATTCCACATCATCATCTAACGATTGCCAACACTTGCTGAGTAACTGAGAACTTGTTTCCATTGCCAACACTGTTTCACTTTAACAGTTGTAGGCTCTGTTATTACCATTTTGAGTTAACATTTTAATCAGCTGTGCCATTCGCGCCAAATTTTTGTTGCACCTTTTAAACTAGCAAATAATTTTCTATAACGAAATGCAGGCGTTTTTAAAAACTGGCAAATCCAGCATCAGTACTACAGATAAACAAGCAACCAATGCGCCTATTGAACGCCGCAAGCCTCCTGCGCCCTGGGTGGAAAAATAGTATGTGCATATTATACTTCTAAGCTCGAATCACATTGAGAAAGTTACCAATAATAATTTGCAATAATATTGTCCAATAGCCGCCCAAGAAGCGTTGATGATGTAGTGGAGCAATCAGAGGTGGTGGCCGTACTGCGCAAATGTGTAGAGGGTGCCGATTTGCCCAACATGCTGCTCTACGGCCCGCCTGGCACTGGCAAAACGAGCACGATTCTTGCAGCGGCTCGTCAAATATTTGGCGATATGTACCGAGAGCGCATACTGGAGCTGAATGCCTCCGATGAGCGCGGCATCAATGTGGTACGCACCAAGATCAAGAACTTTGCACAGCTTACAGCGAGCAGCGTGCGTCCCGATGGTCGTCCGTGTCCGCCCTTCAAGATCATTGTGCTTGACGAAGCAGATTCTATGACGCATGCGGCACAAGCGGCATTGCGTCGCACTATGGAAAAGGAGAGTCGCAGTACTCGTTTCTGTCTCATCTGCAACTATGTATCGCGCATCATTGTGCCTATTACGTCGCGTTGCTCCAAGTTTCGGTTCAAAGCTCTGGGTGAAACACAGATCATTACGCGACTGCAGCACATTTGCTTGCAGGAGAATGTGAGCATTGATCCAGATGCTTACAAATCCATTGTGAAAATATCTGGCGGCGATATGAGACGTGCTATAACCACTCTGCAGTCTTGCTATCGCCTCAAAGGCTCCGAGCACACCATCAACACAGACGATCTTCTCGAGATGTCAGGCATTATACCAGAGCATTTTCTGGAAGACTACCTGGAGGTCTGTCGATCGGGAAAATATGAGCGTTTGGAGCATTTTGTACGTGAGATTGGTTACTCGGCTTATAGCATTGGCCAAATGATGGACCAGTTCGTGGAATTTATTGTGCGCTGCGGCTCGCTAACTGACAAACAGAAAGCCATCATATGCGATAAGCTGGGCGTAAGTTGGAACTGTAGCCGATTTGAAGCAAGTCAACTAAACATTTTTTCTTTTAGGAATGCTGCTATCGTCTACAGGATGGCGGCTCTGAATATTTGCAAATCATGGATCTTGGCTGTACCATCATTCTGGCTCTTAAATAAAGTCCCTAATACACTTACACAATCATTCTCATTTAAGCATTAAGCATTAAACACTAAGATAACTCCTAGAGTAAACTGTTTAAGACTAAAAATTGTTCAGTTACATTGAACAAATTGAGCAACTACAGTTTATTAAACACTGATACACATTTAAAAAGAATATTCATTTATAAGCTGAAATGATATTGATTGGTATCCTTCTGAGATGTTAGCTTTATCGTTAAAATCCGTTATGTGGATGGTATATTCGAAATATAGTAAGAAGCTTTCAGCAACCGCACAAAAGTATGCAGTGCTATTTTTCGTTGCCCATAGCGCCACCTATTTGTCATTTTTATATTGTATTTGGACACTATCCAGATCTATTTTCTTACCGTTTGAAAATGAAAAGATACTAATTTAGAATATGCCGAAACTGTTAATTCCACATATCCGTGAAAGTTACAAATATGCCTTAAGTATAATTGTTTTACATGGTGTATATGTTCTCAATTCGCTGTAAATTCAAATTCTTCTTCGTCGCGTTCCCGCTTTACAGCCACATTACTGCCTCCAATGCTGCCCACGGCCGCCGCATCACTGTCCACCTCCATTTTCATGTCACTGGCATTCGGCTCATTCTTCACTTCTATGGGAGTAACCATTTTCGTTGTGGTTGTGAATTTGATGACTGGCTTTGGAATGGTGACAACTTGTTGCTTGGACACTATTGAGTGGGCACGTTTGGGTCCATTGGCGCTAGATACGGGCTTCACCACCGTCTTCACGGTGCGTCCCTCCAACGCCGATTTGGTCATTTTTTTGGGCTGATTTGTGGCGCGCAGCTTATAGTTGACGCCTGTCAAACAGTAGCGATCGGGCGGTAAACGCAGACCGCAATGGGGCTTGATCGGAGGTAGTGGCATTGCATTGCGCAGTTCCGCCATTTTGGCCAGCACATGACGTGATGGAGGTCCAGTAAAACTCTTGTCCAGAGTCATCTCAGTAGCAAGACGCACATCTTCCAAATCGATGGTTTTTTTGCGTGCATGGTTCGCATATACTTTGGCGTCATCCAGTATGCAAGTCACATACCCTGTACGAGTAAAAAACGTATTTTTTATTAATAGAAAAATAAGGTGGGATACAGATTCGGCACTTACGAAATGTGAACTCAAGCAGTTGGTTGACTACGCGTGGCTCGTATTCCTGGATGTTGAGCTCTTTGAGGATGGACATAATAACTTGTGCATCTTTGGGCACATGTTTGATTTGTGCGCTGACTTTGGCTTTCTCAGCCTTTTCGCTGCTCATTGTTTATAAATTTGTAAGTTTTCAGCGCTGTTTGCAAAGTGCCAGTGTGACCGCAAATTATCGACAAGAAAATACTAAAAACTTAAATACTATGAAGATAAATATACTCAGACATTTTGCACTTTTGTTGTGAGTTGGCAGACCCTTTTCAACATTTCCGATGCCACCGCGGAATTTAAACGCTTTTTCATTTTTTACTAACTCATTTTAAAAGTGAACAACGTTGATAATTATGACTAGTGTTTATTGAAAATATATAATACACAGCATATTGTGGCGTTAACTTGTACGCATTTAAATTCAAACAATTCTTTACTTCTAATTTTTGTTTTGATTTTTACATAAAAAATGCACTTTGGTCGCATACAAAAATGGTTTTCCCACAACTAAAACTTATAACTAAAGCATAACGATACATTTTTCTACACACACTGTGAAAGATGCGAGTCGAATGCCCGCAAATCAGACAATTATATAGTTACATAATACAATTACGTATATTAACAATATTAAACATTAAGCATAGGACTTAATTAAAGAATTTTGCACGTTGGTGGGGTCTTTCCCGGCTTCTTCTCCACCGCACGCACTGCCTCCTCAAAGACCTGCTCTAAATTGAGTTTCTTCTTGGCCGAGCACTCGACCAAACTATGAGCATGAATCTCCTTACGCAGTCGTCGGCCCTCTTGCGTGGTCACAAATTTCTCCGAATTCGGTATACGCAAATCGAGCTTGGTGCCCACCAGAACAACGGGCACATTAGTGCCAAAGTGACGAATCTCCGGCCACCATTTACTTTTGATGTTCTCGAAAGAGGTGCGACTGCTGATGGAATAGCACAATAGGAAGCAGTTCGTCTGTGCAGAAATGAAAAGGAAATAGATTAGATAAGCCATACTACAAATGTATCTAAATATGATTATATCTTTATATATTTACACATATATATATATGTGTACACATGTATATTACTTACATTGGGATAACTCAATGGACGCAGTCTTTCGTAATCCTCCTGACCGGCCGTATCCCAGAGCGTCAGATTGTATTCATTATCATCGACCGTTATGTTGCAGGCATGATTATCGAATACAGTCGGTATATACTCCTCGGGAAACTCGTTCTGTGTGTAGGTTATCAGGAGGCAGGTCTTGCCCACCATGCCATCGCCGACGATGGTTATTTTAAGAGGGCGCAGACTTTTAGACATTGTGCAAACGAACTGGAAATATATAAAGAAAGCGAAATCGAGGCGTCAATATGTATGTGATTCTGTGTGTGCGTGTGTGTACATGTGACATTCAGTGCGCTGCATTGCACCATTTGGTGGCATATGTTAAAGTGACATGCGTTGTTTATCTTGCCACACCCACATCCCACTGCAACCGGAAATCTGCTGTGTGTATGGCAGACTGTGTGTGTGAATGTTTGTGTGTGTGTGTGTGTGTGTGTGTGTGGGTGTGCATGGGCGCGTTTTCTTCATATTCGCAAGACTCGATATCTTAGCATAAGTCTAAACCGTTACTTTTATAGCTACCGTTATCAACAGGGCATTGTTAACACTTGAACTTCAAAACGTTTAATCTAATCAGCAAGCGAAAGCCACTTGATTAAAATTGTCTAACGACACATGGACAGCTGCAAATATTATTAACAATTCCATTTAAAGTTTTCATAAAACTCTATTCGAAATGTTTGCTTAGCTAGCTGTCACAATTGATTCTGTGAAATTCATTAAACATTGTCGTAGCTTAGTAGTTGGTTGTTGTTGTTGTGCTTATTATTAATGCCTTATATAACATTAAGGCATTTGAAAAGCTTATGCACTTTCACCAAGCAAACAAAACTTTGTTGGATAAATGTTTCTTTTTTTTTTAATTAAAACTGGTTTTCAGTCAACGTCAACCAAACGAGTTGTTGACCCAAAACTTGAACTAGATTTCCCTACAGCATCTCAAGTCCAGTGTTAAACAATGTCGCAGAGATACAAATGCTTAATTTGCATACAGATACAGTTAGAGTCCGAACGCTGTGGCGTTCCTCGATTTACGCAGAAAACTCATACGAATTCTGGGAAACATAAATCTTCAGATATGAGTCATGCCACAAGATTGTCAGTCAATTGACGGGGCAAACTCTTATTGCAATTATAAACACAGCTGAGTGTGTACGAAGGGAGCAACAAATCTTAGAGCGTATGTGCGCCTAGATGACGATCTGAATCTAGTGACTCATCCAAGAGGCTGCCAACAGGTCTCAGCCCACATAATAATAATATAGCTTATATCACAAGCAGAGGCAACGGGCTGCAGTTACAAGCCGAAAACCGGTTATATTGACATTCGCTCGCGTTGATCATCGTTTACCGTTTCCATTTGAACTTTTGACTTGTGGCAGGCGAGCACACAGCGTTTGAATGTATTACAGTTGCATGCTACACGTTCTACTAAGCTTTGTACCCAACTGCAGTCGCTTTTTTTGATGTGTGGCTTCTTGGCGCCAACATCTGATCTCTGAGCACGCTTTTACTGTCGTCATTTCCCCGCCCCCACAATTAAAGCTAATTGCTATAGGGGATCCCGGGGGTTAAGTGCTCTCTTTGTAGTTTCGTTTCGTCTTGCCATTGTTATTTATAATTGTACACTTTTATTCCAGATTTCCGAGTTAAGATTCAAATGAGGCATAAGCGCTGTAAATTGCTATGTTATGCCATTGATAACAGCTGTTAACATGCTGCTGTTAGTGATGATGTTAAGTATTTACATACAAAAATGGCAGAGTTACAATCAAAATGGAATTTTTATTTATATGAGCTATATGTTATATATACATATATGATTCATTTATACATATCAAAGAAAACGCATTGACCACTTGCTAAGCATTTTAATTGCTCATTCAAGACTGTTCAATGGAATTTGCAGTCAGGTGTGTTTTCCAACATCTGATCATTGAGAACGTTTTGGCAAAGTTTGCTTCATCAGCTGCTTATATAAATAGTAGCAGATGTTGTATAACGTATACATGTATATATATACATATATATATATATATATATGTGTGTGTCTGTGTGTGTGTGTATAAATTCAGGTATACCTATGGCTCCGCTACATACAAAGTAAATTATTTGCACGGCAGTCACTAAAACAGTACCCACATTTGGTTTGTTTATAATAATTTACTAAAAAAAAGCGTCGAAATGAAAAAAAAAACCAATTCAACGCAAAACAAAAGCAAGTGTTGTTTATTTATTTATACGTGCTTGTGTTGTTGTTGTTGTTAATACTACTTAATGGTTGACTGCTCCTCTGGCTGCCGTTCAAGTTTGTTTGGAAATATTGATGAAGAGGAAGAGGAAGCCAATCTGTTGCTATTTTGGCATGGCTGATCAGGTATTTCTCTTGCACTGCGATTCGTTGTTGCTGCTGTAAAAACTACTGCGAATTGCGATCATGCAGATATGTGGATATGATAAAAGGCTCGTATTTATACAAAGCCAGCAGAAAAAGAGTCTAGATCAGCTACATACATATATACATATGTTTATTATGTGTCATGTGATAAAGGAAATGCTCTATCAAAAGGCAGACAACACAGAGCACAGCGAGGCTTGACAAATGCTCGCATTGTAATTAATACACATAATAAATTATTTAAAACATAATTACGCTTTCATAAAATATGAAATACGGAAAAAGACTTTTTCTGTTTTTGTTATCGGTCGGTGTGGGGCGGGGGCAGCGTCTGCGCTGGCCTCTTGTAAACTTTACTACATATCAAGTTACGCTTTTGTTGTTGCTGTTGTTGTCGTCGTTATATTCTTGGAACACTTGCAACATTCACACTCATTGCCAATGCCTTTGTTGCACTCTCTCGCTCACACACTCTCAATCTCTCTCTCTCTCTCTGCTCTCTGCCTCGCTGTGCACTTAAATTCAAAAATTGCTTAATGCGAATTTATGGATCATTCCTTGCATTATTTCTTAGCTGATTGAACATATATGTATATAGCTGTGCATGTATTATATGTGTACAGCTTATATATGCAAGAATTATGCACTTCTTAAGTATGCATGGGACACTCCTCAGCATCTATAGCCAACACTCCATTGTGGCCTTATCAGCGCTTTGTAATCGCATTTGAGCATGTTATACTTCGGGAGACCAAAGTACTCAATAGTCTTTATTAAGATTCTACCTATATATACATATATATATATATATATACATATATATATATATATATATATATATATATATATATATATATATATATATATATATATAATAGAGCGAGTGCAATTGTTCTTATAAATCCCGTATGGCAACCGAGAAACAAACTTTTGTTATTCACTTTTTTCTATATACATGTTTATGTGTGTGTGCGTGCAGGAGTATGTGTATTTTGTTTTATGATTTCTTGTGTGCGTGTGTGTATTTTCGTATTTCATGAAAAGATTAGATAAGATATATGTAGGTATATAGGCGTATGTACATAGGTATGTGCGATTATTCCTCTGCGCCATATAAAAATGAAATCAACTTGAAAGCGCGATAAGTGCAATTATGAAGCTGGTTAACAGCTAGGCCATATATATATATATATATATATATATATATATATATATATATATATATATATATATATATACATATATATATATATTCATATATATATATATATATATATATATATATATATATATATATATACATATATATATATGCATATATAGATGTTGCAGGGAAATTTGTTTGCGATTTGGTTACGGGTCTCGCGCCGCACACGCTGTCAATTAGTTTAATTAATTGAGGTCATATTTTATGGCATAGGTCGTATTAGATTGATTTGCTGTTGATTTGATGGAGATCACCGGCTGAGTATTGGGTGTAGAAGGGGTCTCCAGTTGGCATGTACTTGAAGGTTTCCTGTGATAGCACACACATACACAAGCGGCCTGGCCAGCTGGCCTTTAATGGATAGGCAGCCATATAATAGTTGTTAACTAAAAATGGTAACGTGCCTAAAACAGAGCCAGAGAGCCAGACAGCTAGAGATAGATAGAGAGAGGGAGGGAGAGAGAGAGTGGCAGACAAAGACGACGCGTGTGTGGGAGAGTGAGAGAGCTGGTATAATCAAAAAGCTGGTTGGCATTCCACAGCCACAGCCACAGCCACAGCCACTACCAGAGCCAGAGACAGAGCCGTTGGGCGGTCGTTTGTGTGAGCGTGTGACGTGAGCGTCATACAAAAGTGACTCAAGTGATAAAGAGGTGATCACGAAAACGATACCAAAAAATCGAAAAGAAACGCAAAAACGAACAATAACAACAGCAGTAGAACTAGAAGTCTTGTTAGCCCAGAATGCAGTGAACAGGTTGCAAAGCTAAAACAGTTGTCAAGATGCTTTCTACTGATTATGCTAATGATGTTTACACAAAAGATATAAGCACACACACACACGCACAGTTTACGATACGCAGTTGCACAAGGTCAGCAAAGCTGTCTCTGTATGTGTATATAATTCGTATTATAATTTTATATTGGGTATTGGGCTTTGGTGTTACGGCCAAATTAAAGTTGCGTGCAATTACAATTGCAGCGCACACAGCACGTACTTATAGATACTCGCACTAGTATTCTCGCTTTGTTTTGTTTAAATATATATAATATGTATTACTTTTGTTGTTTGGAACAAATCAATCGAGCCACACGTCCGTCTCTAGCGATGACGTCTCTTGATCAGTAAACGTATTTGGAAGCACGACGCAGCACGGCAACACTTGTATACTCAACACAAACACGACAGCTATGTAGCTGGCACAACCGATCACTCGGGCAGTCGTCACGCAACTGAGAGCAAACAGCAGACACAAGACGCTGAGTAGCCAGTAGCCACAGCCCAACAGAGGCACTGCATGGAGAGCAGTCGCTGGAGAGAGCAGACGCTGTGTCGAAAGAGCAGAATATTCGTAGAGAGTCTAAGAGCGTTACTGCATTAAAGAAAAACGTTTTGAGCAATCGAGCGCAGTTATTTCAATAACAGTTTTTTGAAAGCTAAGCTAAGAGCAATATCTCGACCATAAAAAATAAAAGTCTTACTAAAGAAATAATCCAGAATCAATAATCACAGCTTGAAATATTAAAAATAATTATGTTTAACAAACTATGAGTTTCTTATATTCTTTTAAATTTTAATTATTGCATTTCTTTGAACAGTTGGGTCAAAAGAGTGTAACTCGGCCCTGTAGAAACGCTGTTGCTGCTCCCACTGATAAGGCCAATCGAAACCCATTTAACAGTTCTTCTCTTTCTGTAAAAACTCAACTTTGTAATGTTTCAATTTATTTTCAGACGTGCTTGAGTACATTTCATTTTAAAGTGGATATTAGTCATTGCGGTTTATTCAGATTCCGCTTACCTTAATAATACTAACCACAATCAAAGAAACATTTTGTATTTGAAATTATTATAATTCTAAATAGTAATAGTTATGTTCAACGGCTCTGTAATCAAAATATTAACCTTTAATTAACATTAAAACTAACACTTACATTAAGCAACGCCTTCAGCGCATTATTGCGTAATCCGTATATGAAGAACGTGAACGCGACTGTCATGACCAATTAATCAACGAGTTGACCGCGCACTCGCGCTCATATGCGTGCCCGTTAAGTCGTTGTAACTGTAATTAAAGCTCCCCTATGTACGGCCAAGGCATGGGCAAAGAAGTGGAACAGCCACAGCTCACAATTTACGTTTGCCAGAAGATTAGGCATTAATTATAATTATTATTGCACTGTTCATGCCTTAAAGGGCGGCAAACTCTTTTTAAATGCTACCAGGCAAAAGGTTAATGCGTGGGCCGTGGCCTCTACAAAGGGAAGACCGGAAAAGTTATTAATAAATATAAGTATGCTGCAGTGCCAATTAGATTCAGCTACTTAGGTACCACATGAGCAACATGTGTGCTCAAGAGTATTTTTTGTCAGTGTGTCTGCTGAGTACAGGTGCTGTTGCCCGCCAGTGTTCACTTCAAAGCAGTACAATTTTATCGAGTGCAGTTCAAGGTCAACATGCTGGCGCCTTAGGATCCACACGTTCCCCTCCTTTTAGCTTCGCTTTCGTTTGTTCTAACAGCAATAATCTATTTTCTGACTTATAAGATTTGCTCGCCCATACAGCAAAGGGTCCAGAAGCAGGCGAGAGAAGACAAGATAATATTGTATTCATTTCCCGCTTCCGGTCGGAATTTCTTATTCTCGATAAAGAACTAAATGAGTATATTGATTTTTATGTTCGGTCGTCTGTGCACATTAATATTTTTCATAGCGCCCCTATTGAACCCATATTTGTAAATAGAGGTATATATATACAACATGATTAAAGTTCCGATTCCCGATTTACCAAGCTTCTAATATTATATATATATAAATATATATATATGAGATTAAATATATACAGACGAACGAACATTGGACAAATCCAATATACTCGCTTCACCCATAGAGTTTCTTGACAACTAGTGCCTAATGATTTGCAATAGCGCACGTTTCAGTGGTGCGCTGACTTTCGAAAGTCATTGTTCGTTAAGTGCAGTATGACCATATATTGTGCGCTCGAAAATATCTTGAATATAAATACCACTGTAAAGTTAAATACTACATTTTGCACACTTACAACCGGTTGGCAGCACTCGTTAAATATGTTAAATAAGGCCGCGCACCGTCAGCCTTTGAAAGTGGATGGATGAATATACGTAATTAGATATATATATAATTATATAAATTATATGATTTCCAGTCCTGTGGTGACTGAAAGTTAGGTTGAGAGGCGACTGTGCCTCTTATTGCTGGCCTCGGGCTCAGACAATGAAATAAGCCATTTAACGAGCAAATGACGGAGTGAATATTTATTTAAGCGGTTTACTGGAAGAACGCTTTTTAACCCTGCTTTTAATTGTTCTTTTTTGAATAATCGAAACAGTTAATTTTATTGGTTTTTCTTATTATATTCACTATTTTTAGTTTTACTTATATGACACCAATTTTTAGCATGTCCTATCAGTACGAGTTAAAACACGAGACTGATCTATATTTTTACAAATCATAGCCTCACCGGCGTAAGTAGAGTTGCTCTTGCCAGGGCTGTTCCTTAACTTGTCTAGCACCCGATAATAAGTGTTGAATAATACCTTATATTAAGTGTTATAAGCTAACTAAGTGTTATAAGTTAACTACCCCCCCCTCAAGTGTAAGGTCGTCCTCGACCGACCCAATTCCAGCGACGACTCCTCGCAAGTGCTTCGCGGACTTCTTTGCGTCGATGATCCACCAAAGAGTGAGGCCAATGCAGATTAAAGCACAGCATATGGCTCCTCTTTCGGAGTGCCGTACAACGACACATCATCAAAGTGCACCATTTCGGTTCCTTGGTCGCATATTAGCAGCGGTGACCAGCGAGTCGGTGCAGGTGTTCTCGAATGAAATCCGCAAGTCGTTCTCATTCACATTCAATACGGAGCAGTATGAGCAGCGTACTGATTCTTCGCTATCGCCGTTCAGCAGGCGCTTACTAAGCTTGCTCTTGCGCCTACGTATGTGGCGTCTGTTGAAGCTGTTGGTGCCCGACGTGGACGTGAGCCTTGGCATCGGATGATGCACACCAAAGTTGTGCAGCTGCAGCGACTTGAGTGTGGCTGGCGCCGTCGATGACTGGCCGTGCACGTGCCCGTGATGGCCGTGATGACTGTGTCCCACCACTCCAGCGATGCTATGAGCCGTTACTGGACGAGTGATGTGTGTAGTCTGTCGGCGCGCTCAGCTGGCGATTGAATTCGGCCTTGCGGCGCGTCAAGTCCGTCAGGCAGTATTTGTTCAGATGGCCGTTGCTGGAGACAGGGCTCTTGGGCGATGATGCCAGATGCTGCGTATAGGCCGAAGGAGTTGCTGCTCACGCTTAGCTTATTGCCGGCGTTGTGCAGCAGATTGTTACAGTTCTTGCCGCTGATCTTGGCTGCCAGCGACTGCGACACCGGCCGACTTTTTGCTAGGCGCCCTGTACTCCTTGTCGTCGCTCTCGCTGCGCACCGATGCTCGATACGCAGGAAATGTCTTCGTCTTGCTCTTCAGCGAGCCGTTCAGCAGTAGCTGCTGTTGCCGTGCGGCAACTGCCGACAATGCCGGCCGCTGCAGTTGACGTGACGCCGCTGCCGATGAGGATGAGGATGAGCCGGCAGCTGTGGAAGGTGCCGACAGAGATGGACAGCGGTTGGAGCAACCTGTGGCTGTGAAACTTCTTGAATTAATGCAGTTGGCAGTGTTTTGGGGATTTCTTGACTTGGTTCTAGTATGGATGAAGAGTCGCTTGGCTCTGCCGCCGCGAAGAACTCGTTAGTTGTTGCTTCTACTGTTGGTGGTGGTGCCGTGAACAAGGGGATTTCCTCAACGATTCCGCTTGTAGATTTGCCTGCTGTGGTTCTGGCTTAGCATCCAACTGTGGTGCGAATAGAGCTGTTGCTGGTCCTTGTGAAAATATGGGCAAACTCTGTGATGTTGGGAATAATGGAACTTCCGAAACAGGTGCAGTTGACGGTGGTGCAAATAGTGTAACCTCCTGATTTTGATTTGAAGAGCTCTTTAGCTCTTCCCTCTGAGTCGGTGACTTAAAAAGGTTGTTGCTTGTATCTGGTGTAAGTCCTTGTGTTGCGTTAGTCGGACTGGAAAAGAGAGGAACCTCCTGAAGTGTATCGGATAGTGCTGGTGCAAAAAGCGATGTAGTTGCTTCGTGAGTCTGAAAGAGGCCCGTCGATGCCTGTGGTGTAAACAGCGATGTTGCTGGCCCAGTTGGGGGTGGTGCAGCCGCAACAGAGGAACTTCCTGGCTTGGCGCTGGTGCAGCTGACGGAGCTGGCGCTGTAAATAGGGCAACTTCTGTAGGCTGTGCTCCAAAAGGATTAAAAATAGCAGCAGGTGCTGCGAAGGGTGCAAAGGGCGTGGCTGTTGAAGCTGTTTGCTGGCCAAAGCCTGTTGCGGGCACTGCAGTTTCCTGAGCTGTCAGTGGACTCTTGTAGAGTCTGGTACCCTTCTGCAGGCGGTACGAGGAGTGTGCAGGTCCTGCCGCTGGTGGGGGTGCTGCTACTGCCGTTGGTGGGGGAGTTGCTGCAGCCACTGATGGCGGTGCAAACGTTGGAGTACTCTCGATTAAACCAGGTGCTTGAGCAGCTGTCAGTGGCTGAGGGACAGTGGCTACTTGGGTGACTGTCGGAATCTGAGCGTATGTCGCTGGCGGAGCAGTTGCCCCAGGCTGAGTAAATGTCGGTGGTACCGCGGCTGGCGTTGGCTGAACACCGGTTGATTGCCCAGAAACAGCTGGTGCTGGCGTAAAGAAGTTACCAACAGACGGAGCTGCAGCAACTACGGAAGGATTGATGTAACCACCTACAGTGGGTGGTGCTACAGTGGGCGAAAAATAATCAGCAGCAGCAGGCGGAGCTGCAGGCGTAAAAAAGTTTGCAGGCGGCTGCGGTACGGCAGCGCCGGATGTGCTTATGTCAAAGTAGCCACCAGAATCAGCTGGATTGTAGCTGGCTGGTGGGGGTGGCGCAGGTTCGTTGGTTCTGCCTGTGGCCGATTGCACTAGACCCGAAATATTCTGTAACACGCCAGTGGGCACTAGACTAGTGAGTGAGAAGAGACCACCGCTCTTGCGTTCCTCTTGAACGGCTGGTGGTGCAGGCTGCTCGAATGCTGCTGCTGCCGCCGCTGCCGATGGCTGTGTGGGATATGGCGGTGCTTGGAAGGGATCAACAGCTGGCACTGGCTGCTGTTGCTGCTCGGAGAGACCTGTGCGTATAGCTTCTTTCTGGCACTAATGCGATAAGTGTTCTGTCCGGCCCCACGTTGGGCGCCAATTATATGATTTCCAGTCCTGTGGTGACTGAAAGTTAGGTTGAGAGGCGACTGTGCCTCTTATTGCTGGCCTCGGGCTCAGACAATGAAATAAGCCATTTAACGAGCAAATGACGGAGTGAATATTTATTTAAGCGGTTTACTGGAAGAACGCTTTTTAACCCTGCTTTTAATTGTTCTTTTTTGAATAATCGAAACAGTTAATTTTATTGGTTTTTCTTATTATATTCACTATTTTTAGTTTTACTTATATGACACCAATTTTTAGCATGTCCTATCAGTACGAGTTAAAACACGAGACTGATCTATATTTTTACAAATCATAGCCTCACCGGCGTAAGTAGAGTTGCTCTTGCCAGGGCTGTTCCTTAACTTGTCTAGCACCCGATAATAAGTGTTGAATAATACCTTATATTAAGTGTTATAAGCTAACTAAGTGTTATAAGTTAACTTATATATATATATATATATATATATATATATATATATATATATATATATATATGTGTGTGTGTGTATGTACACATGTATATTACTTACATTGGAGAAACGCAATGGACGCAGTCTATCGTATTCCTCCTGACCTGACGTATCCGACAGCTTTAGAAGGTAATCAACATCATCAATTCTTTTGTTACAGGTGTAATCATCGAATAGAGTCGGTACATTCACATCATTCCCTGCGAATGTTAAGAGAAAGTTGGTTTTGCCAACCGCGCCATCGCCGACGATGATTATTTTAAAAGGGCGCAGGCTTTTCGACATTAAGTATACCAAAAATCTATTTATGTATATATCCAAATATATAAATCTATGACGCTTTGCGTTTCATGAACTCGATATTTTCGGATTTGTTAAAGAATATAGCTCATAGACGGACTCATAGGTCTACATGCATATGCGCGGTGAAACATGATTTAAATTAAAGCTCAATTCCATATATGAGTAAAAAAATATATATTATATATATTATTACCTAAAACTAAACTAAAGCCTCGTCAGTCGGTCCTGCGGCAGCTGCTAAGATCGATTATTGTAATCTACATTCGAGTTCTTCTGTTCATGAAACCACATACTAATTCTCTTTTTTCGATTAACATATCCATGAATCAACGTTTCAACTAGACAATATTGGTTTGAATTCGTACAATACAGCTACAGAAAGATGGAGATTCTACAGAACAATTATAAAATAAATGTCATTAAGCATGACAGTTTTAAAACAATACGCTCAACTTTAACTTGAGAATTGTAACCTTCGCGGTTTTATTTCGTTTTACAGCACCCAGAAGATAACAGTGTAGCACTTACTCTTAGCTTAACAGAATTTGACACGATTGCTGTTAGAGACAGAAAATCTTAATATCGATAATTTTGACTATTTCGTTAAGCGTTGCCATACTGCTGGGTCTAACCAATTTGATAGAAAACTCTTGTTTGTGCCGGAAATTATAACAAAATAATATAATAAAATGCCCGAAAGCGATGTTACCAAAATGAAAGTGAGTAAATTTCATGTTATTAATTAATGTACAAATAATCCACGCGTTACCCAATCCAGGTTGCGGATTTAAAGAGAGAGTTGAAGCTGCGTGGGTTGCCATTGAACGGCAATAAAAATGAATTACAGGACCGCTTGCAAACGGCGTTGCTGGAAGGCGACATTTCGCTTGAAGAAAGTGCAATAGCTGACGCCATTGACGACGATGTCTCATTCACGGATGAAGACGAGCACAAATTATTAGGCGACGATCACGAGGACTTACTGTTAAAGAGCCCAGTAAGCACACCTACGGCAACAATAATACCAGAGTTGTTATCTCCAACAGCCACGGCGTCGGATTCTAAATCAGAAACCAATGCCGCATCGTTGCCAAGTAAAAAAATCGTGCTCAAACGGAACAATTCACTGCAGCTGTCGACAACGGGCACGACAGCAACGACGACGACATCAAAGGAAAATGCTGCCCCCGATACAGCAGCCAGTGAAGCCGGATCATTGGAGGCGGAAAAGAAAACCACAAAAACGCAACGCAAGCCAATTGTGGTTGGTGGGTCTGCAACACAAAGCAAAGATTCCTCATCGACTCATGACAAGAAGCTAACCGGACTAAGCACACAGGAGCGCTTAGAGATGCGTGCCAAGAAATTTGGCATTGCGCTAGATGCGAAAACGGCTGCTGTTCCAACCGTAACTAATTCACCAACGGTTAACAAATCTTCTTCAGCTTCAATAAAAGCTAACAAAGGCAACAAAGAAACGGATGAACAACAGAAGGAGGCATTGAAGAGACGTGCCGAACGCTTTGGCTGTGTGGTGCCGGAGAAGGCTTCAAAAACCGTAGTCGATGAGCGGCTGCAAAAACGAAAGGAACGCTTCGGCAATTCTGCTGTCGGTACAACAACTGCAGCCACCACCGATCCAAAGGCGCAGGGTGAATGGGCTGAAAAAGCAAGGGCACGTTTAGAGCGCTTCAAAGTATCAACTGCGGCTACTGCTGAGCTAACTAAATAGGCGAAAAGCATCCTATGCAAAAATGTAGCTCAGCATCCTCTCTTTTATTTAAGCCACAATTAACCACCAATTATACACATGTATCTGTTAAGCAAGAGTAAATACCTAAAAAGAATTAATTTTATTTTGAATTGTACGGAGTTAGATTGACCTTTCAACTAGCTTTTCCATTGATTAACATACGTTATTTTGTATTCTGACAAAATAAATATATACTTATTTCAAACGGGATCTAAGCTAGTCTTCAATTTTAATAGGATGTCCCTTCAGAATACATAACGATAATCATATAAATATCCCTTTTCACCTTTAATTCTTTTGGATGTTTTAGTATTACAATCGGAATCGTGTTTCGTGTAAAACCCACTTAAAACCTTGGAAAGCATACCTAAATAATAAAACCCGGATATTCGCATCTACTAAAATAGATTTGCTTTATTAAATATTATTTATATATTTATTGGCTTCAATCACTTATAAATTACATGAATTGCGTCTTCTGTATTGGAAAGTTAATTATATTATGATCATTTTTGTTATGAGTTATGTAAACGTATGTATAAAAATTAAACAATTATTTGTTTGTGGTTACTAAGAACTAAAAACGTTGCGACAGCTTAGCCACCTCTGCTTTGCTTTGCTGCCTGTTCTTGGTTAAAGTATGCCGTTGGTCGTGTCAAGAAGTTCATGCGATTCATTCACACGGACAATGCATTCTAAAAATCTAAGGAGTGTGGCTTAAAAGTAAGTTACTTTAATGGTGCGACCATCCAGACGTGAGCCATCCATGAGAGCTGAGGATTAAGAAGATTGTTAACAGCTTTCAACATAAAAACAAGCTCATTGAATTCTTACCTATGGCCAGTTCCGCGTCACGTTCCTTGAAGAAACGCACCACGCCTACATCATTGCCACGTATCTCGGCAAACTTGACATCGCCAACATCACGGAATTTATCGCGCAGTGTTTGCCAGGTGCAGCTCAATGGCACATTCTTGATAATAATCGTATCGGACTTGCGGGCACCGCCACCGGGATTGCCAGCGCCGCCACCAACGCCAACATTGCCACCACCTACGCCGACGTTGCCTCCACCACCGCCAAACATGTCCAACTGATTGCCAGAATTCCCGTAGTCATTGCCATCGAGCTGGTTGTTACCAGAATTTGCGCCACCAGTACTGTTGTATGCATTGAAGCCAACATTACCCCCAGAAACTCCCCCACCGCCAGTGCCAACGCTGTTGCCACCACTATTATAGTTGTTACCAGCATTACCATAGCCGCCACCGCTACTGTAGTTGTTGGTCAGACCAACATTGCTGGCAGAGACGAGTCCGTCATCGTTGCCGCCTGCATTTCCTAGATTAAGGCCTAGGGTGTTCAGCGATGAGGTGAGCAGTGGGTTTGACAACGCTGCACCCAGATTGCCCAAGTTGCCAACTACAGCAGCCAAATTGCTGGGGTTTAAATTATTCAGATTGATGCCACCGCCACCACCACCAGTATTGTTTCCCATGCTGGGCTTTTGTACCGGTGCCACTGGAGAGGGCTGAACAGCAGCGTTATTCCCAAACATGACTCCACTGAGGCTTCCCAGTAAGTTGCTTGCGTTTGAGTTACCGCCGCCGACAACAGGACCGCCAGTCACCGCGGATAGCTGCTGGGCGCTCTGCACATTGCCAAGAAGCTGCGAAGCGTTCTGATTGCCACCGTTTGGCAGATTATGGGCCACATCTTTGAGTGGCTCACCGTTGGGGCCCAGGCCTATGCCAACGCCACCCAATCCTTCGGGCAGCTTTAGACCTTCACCCTTGTCGGGTATGCGATCCAAACGCACTGTCATGCGACGATCATAAAGCATCTGTCGATCCAACATAGAAATTGCCTGTACGGCCTCCACTGGATGATCATATTCGACTACAGCAAAGCCACGGCTGTGGCCTTCCTTATCCAGGGATAAGTCCACACTCTGCACCTTTCCGGCAAGCTTAAAGACTTGCTTAAGCTTCTTGTTGTCCACCTTGTAGTCCAGCTGTGATAAAACAAATATAACATTTTAAAATTTAAATACACGAGATGGCCTTGAGCATCACTGAAGAATGAATAGAAGCATTGTCCAGTCACCAAACATTTGTTGACTCTGACTCAGGCTGCCACCTTAACTAGGAACAAACAAAGTCTGAAGGAAGGAACACAGGAATCAAGCCGTTGGCCCAGTTGGCTAATTCAAAACCGACGCAGCATGCCCGCAGTTAAACCGACTGTTTCATATTTATAACCCAGCCTGCAGGTATCACATCCACTCGAAAGACTCTCGATTCTCGGGCGGGCCAAACACATCCAGAAGACAACTTAACGTGAACTGCATTTCATTGCATTACAACGCTATGCAACAATAATTATGTGAACAGGTCGTTTGACCACGCAGAGCGATTAAGTTAAAGACCGGAGTTATCACATACAATCGATGGTCAATAACGATTCGAATTTTTAGTTAATTTAAATTTTAGAACTTCCCGTTGGCTGTTTTTTTCACTACTACGTATTAATCCTGTTATCTCTTTGACGGCGATTAAAAATGAAACTGATCAATGTAGCAGCTTAGCCCAAATTTTATATCAACAGCTGTTAGCAACATCAAATTATTCCATATTTACCGATAGACAGCGGATCGATTTACATTAATGTTTTTTTTTTTTAATTTATTTACAAAATATCGGACAATATAAGGATTTTCGAAACGGATAGTTTTATGGTTTCATTTAAGAAGACATCAATTCCGAAGTTTTCAATATCAATACATATTAACTTGGAATTTAACCAGAGATGAAACATCAAAGAAAACATTGTTTACTGTAAAGTGGGGGAAGAACATTTTCGAGTATACAAGTAGAAAAAAAATATGATATATAGTAGAGTCACAGAGTAAACTGATGTCAACATCTTACCCACAAACAAATAATAATATAACACGTGAAATGTTATTTCTATAGTTGGGTTATAAATACGAAACAGAGCCCACGATGAAAACATAATCAGTACGTGTTTTTTTAGATAGAATAAAGGCAATTTACGACTTAAACACAACTGGGCAAAGAGTATACAAGCTACAAAACATATTTCCATTACATAGAAGATATGCGTATGTATATAGTTATGGTTTAGTTGGTTTTGGTAACAGTATCGGTATCGGTATTGGACTTTTTTTGTTTTTTGTTTGGTTCATAGTTTATAATTATTATTATACATATACTCACATTAGCAACAAAAACCTTATTATGCAAAGGTCCACTTATGCCAAGACTCTCCAAAAACGAAGCAGAAAGCCCATATAAATTGTAATTCGACGAATTAAAATCATTCGACATCATGTTAAAATTATTACGCCCAGATCTAGAAAAAGAAGCCAAAAGTCCAGAGAGAAAAATAACAAGAGCAAAAGATAAAAAGCACAACAAATACACGTATCCGAAAAGCGCACGCACATCATACCGTAACATTTCAGCTATGAACAGAGGTAGAGATTAACGCCAAACGCCGAAATTATCCCTTAAACTTAAAAGTCAAGATTCTAAAAGTGATTTATCGGTATTTTAAAATTTAGAAACCTTTTCTTAAAAATCATATTTAATATTTTGTAATGGCCTGTATTCATCGGCTCAACTTAACTTTTAGTACATCGAAAACATTGTAAATTTATTCGAAAATTCATCAACTTTAACGACATAAAGCAATGCTGGCACAAAATTCAACTGAAATCTTTATCATAACACATTTACAAATGCATAGGCTAAGTCCCGAATATAGAAATGAAACCAATTTAGCAATGAGCAGATGTTTGATACTATTGGGAAAGCTATTCAGAACAAAACCTATAAACAGGATACACAGCTATCAAACAGGAGCCTTGTCTAAAAACGTTGAAATGTCTTTAAGTATCTAAATTTCATTATTTTTCTTTTGCTGAGGTTAACATAATGCCGACCGCTGAACAACTGAAGTTTATAAAAGGACAGCAAGCGGATCCAGTAAACGCATAAGACCCAAGCTGTTTTACTTCCCTTTCTTTTCGAAGTACAATTATCAGCACAGTTCAAAGTAGAACGATCATTAAACCTGTCCCAGACATTCGTCTTAATATATACATGTTGGAAATACAATCTTTGGTTGACATTAGCATATAACAATGCCTGATATAAATCTTCTTTAAAGTACTGATTACCCTTCATTTTAAAATGTCAGTAATACTAAAAGTAGGTTTTTTTTTCCATTCAATAACATGAACAATTTTCCATCCTTTGTGATTTGCTAAATGTGCTTAGGGTATAGTAAAATATTTGTAGATAAATTAAATAATGTATATTACTCACATTCTGTCATCGTCACGTCGCGAAAAGCCACGATCACGATCGTCCATATGATCACGACCTCCACCATTTCCACCACCTCCTCCTCCTCCACCACCACCGCCGCCTCCGCCACCACCTCCTGCTCCATCGCGCACAATGCGACCGTATTGATCGCGCTGTTCACCATGATCTTCCTTAACGACAAGCTCACGTCCGTTGAGCTCATATCGATTCATTTTCTCCATTGCCTTTTGCACGTTCTCTGGATCTTTGAACTCGACAATACCGCAACCACGTGCCTTGCCGCTTTCATCGTGGAATAATTGCACATACTCAATGGAGCCGACAATACGGCGGAATAGATCCTTAAGGTCTTGCCAACGATAATCGTACGGAATGTTCGAGATATAGACGCGGCAATTGCGTCTTTCACGGCTTCTGTCTCGTGCAACATTAACACCTCCTCCTCCCCCTCCACCGGTGGCATTACCATTGTTACCCTCAGCATCTGAGAAACGTGAGCCGCGAGCGCCACGTCCACGGCGATCGCGCTCTTTTTCACGATTTTCGACAGTATTGGCGTCCATGTTCATGGCTGTCTCCTGCAAAAAATCTTAAGTGTAGAATCAAATTCTCACTCCATTAACGCGGCCCACAGCGTCATTGCGAAAAAAAAAAAGATGGCGACTTGCGGCGTCGTTGCGCCTTTTCTGCAGTTTGCCCTGTTTGCCTACTCGATGTACTTACCTTAAGAATAAGTTATACTGTAGGTTTGTACTGATATTCTTGAAAAATTGTTTGCAATTATGCCGTATTGAATTAACACAAACACAATAATCAATAAATTGGACATAAGCCGACTGACTTGAGAAAAAAATTTGAGATGTGTGATATTCTATTTTATAGTTCAATCGAACTAATGTCGCATGTGAATAAATCGATAAAAGCTGGTTCTGTAAGTCAATAGTTGTCGAACACTTATCGAATACTTATCGAACCAGATTTTAAATTTGATCTCTAACTAAATATTCAAATATTCTGCTTACAAGGTATATGAAAATATAAAATAAATTAACTTTATAATATTAATGTTGTTTTGATGAGCATATTAAAATTTTCTGGTCTAAAGCGTGCAAAAACTTAAAATTATTGTTTTATTAAAGCTAATTTACCCAAAGATGTATAAGTAGAACTATTTTTTCATTGTACAATCATAAATGTATATTTATATATATCCATTTTTACTGTACATATTACATTACATACCTTATCAGCAGAGAAATATTGAGTGTGATGCAGTGATTATTTCAGCGAGTAGGTTTTTTGAATTAAAAAACTAAAATGTTTCGGATTTCAAGTTTAATTAGGTCTCATACTCTTTCATTAAGCATTATAGTTTTTATAGGTTATATGTAACGAGACCAATATTGTAGCACTATTAAATAAATACATTTTCTTTATGATTCTAATATATGCATTACCTATAAGTCTGCTTTTGTATATGAAGCTTTCGAACAGAAGGGTATTTAAAATATGGCATAGTAAAAGTTAAATTGCTGAAAAACGTTTAAAATGCGATAAAAGTAAATTAAAACAAAAACAAATAACACCGGCTTGATACGTATTATATGGCATTTTGCAGTGCCACCAGAAACTCGTTTAGCTTTTACCTGATTACGGTCAACCGTGCTTCCACAGAGACTTTAAATAGGAGAGCGTGACCGTCTCTCAACATTTGGTAGCGAACTTTACCAAGATGAGCATCAAGTTCAATGTTAATGGCTTTCCGTACGAGGTGCAGCCAGCGGACTACGCGGCTGACATCACTTTAAATACGTTCCTGAGGGAACATCTCCACCTAACAGCCACCAAATACATGTGCCTAGAGGGCGGCTGTGGCTCCTGCGTTTGTCTCATACGACGCCGCCATCCCATTACAGAGGAAGTACACTCCCGTGCCACTAACTCGGTAAATGTCATGTACTTAAGAAGTGGATTGGTTCAGGTATATTTATTGGTATTATATCTTTTATAAAGTGCTTAACTCTGCTTAATACCTGTAACGATGTGGACATAATCACCGATGAGGGGCTAGGCAATAAGAGCAACGGTTATCATCCCATACAGAAGCGGCTAGCCAAGCTCAACGGCACCCAGTGTGGATATTGTTCACCGGGATTCGTGATGAACATGTATGGGCTACTGGAGAGTCAAGGCGGTCGTGTGAGCATGGCTGAAGTGGAAGATGGCTTTGGGGGAAACATCTGTCGCTGCACCGGCTACAGACCCATACTCGATGCGATGAAGTCTTTTGCCGTTGACAGCAGTATTGAGGTACCAGCAGAGTGTGTGGATATTGAGGACTCCTTTGAGGTGCTCTGCCCCCGCACCGGTCAATGCTGCAGTGGTAGCTGCGCCCGTCCTTCCCTGCCTGCCCAGAACAACTGCCACTGGTATTGGCCCAAGACACTGGCGGAACTGTTTGAAGCACTGGCCCAGGTACCTACGGGTGAGGATTACATTCTGGTTGCGGGTAACACAGCGCATGGTGTCTACAGGCGACCGAAGAGTATACGGCACTATGTGGATGTCAACATGGTGCCGGAGCTAAAGCAGCACAGCCTTGAGTCGGAGCACCTCTTGCTGGGCGCCAATTTGACTCTTACAGAAACCATGCAGCTCTTTCGACAGGCTCAGCAACGCGCGGGCTTCGAGTATTGCGCTCAATTGTGGCAGCATTTCAACCTGATTGCGAATGTACCAGTGCGAAATGTAAGTGGTAGCCATAAATACATAAAATCCAGTTTGAAACTTGTTTCAGTGGAGCTCCTAATTCGACTGTGTATGGGAACAGAAAGTGAAATGGAATTGATAAAACTGGAATTTTATAGAAGAAATTTAAAATTTATAACGACAACAAGAATATCTTTCATTTTAAGAGTGGAACTCTGGCAGGCAATATTTCAATCAAAAAGCAGCACCCGGAGTTTCCGTCGGATGTTTTCATCACATTCGAGGCCCTGGATGCACATGTCTTGGTGCACGAGAACGCAAGCAGTCAAAGGCTGATGACGCTGTTGTCTTATCTGCAGGATACTACGCCCAAGCTAGTAATTGGCGGATTTATTCTTAGACCTTATCCAAAGGCGAAATACTTGTTCAACTCGTACAAGGTTAGTTTCAATTCAAATCGTGCACATCCTTTATATACGTGACTAACTTCCTCTCCGCAATAGATTTTACCGCGAGCTCAAAATGTCCATGCCTATGTTAATGCTGGCTTTCTGATCGAGTGGCAGAATGCCCAGGAGCACATAGTGGGCTCGGCTCGCCTTTGTTTTGGAAACATTAGGCCTGATTACGTACACGCCGACAATGCCGAGCAGTTGTTGGTGGGTCGGGATTTGTATGACAGCTCTACAGTGGTGCAGGTCTTTGAACAGCTGCTGACAACTCTGCAGGCGGTGGAAATGCCACCCGAGGCCTCCCCTGAGTATCGTCAAAAATTAGCTTGTTCGCTTTTCTACAAGTTCTTGCTAGGCTCGGCACCCGAAGAGCTCATCCGCAAGCGTTTTCACAGCGGTGGGAGCTTACTCGAACGTCCGCTTTCCTCCGGTAGTCAATCATTCGAGACCATACCAAACAAATATCCCGTGACAAAGCCTGTGCAGAAGTTAGAAGGTATATTTATCCTTAGCAATTCAGAGAACTGTTTCATGTTGTATTTCCTCTACTGTCATTAGGCCTCAGCCAGTGCTCTGGCGAAGCCACCTACACAAACGATCTGTTAACCACCTCTAATACTGTGTACTGTGCCTTTGTGACGGCCAAGCGGGTGGGTGCAACCATAGAACAGATCGACACCACGCTCGCGTTTCAGTGCAAGGGCGTGGTAGCGTTCTATGGGTCCAAGGATATTCCTGGAGACAATAACTTCAATAATACTACATTGCTGACCGTCCCGGGTGATGTGGAGGAAGTCTTTTGTGGTGGACGTGTAAAGTACTATGATCAGCCGTTGGGAGTCATCGCAGCATTGACACACGACGTTGCCGTCTATGCAGCGACCTTGGTGCAGGTGACCTATGCCAATGATCAGGTTAGGATTTACACCAGCATGAATGCGGTTCTGACAGCCAAGGTGAAAGATCGTCTAGTGACAAGCACAAAGCCTAATAACGAGTTCTGCAAGGCAGCTCTAGAGGCAGGCGATGTGCTTGGCCGTGGAATCCTGGAGCTAGCGCCCCAATACCACTTCACCTTAGAGCCACAAACGACGGTGGTGGTGCCCAATGAGCAAGGACTTCAGGTTTTTAGCGCCACTCAGTGGATGGACGTGACTCAAGCTAGCATTTCACGAATGCTCAAGTTGGACGCGAACGCCGTCCAGCTACAGGTTCGACGTGTTGGCGGAGCTTATGGTGCTAAAGTAACTCGAGGTAACCAGGTGGCCTGTGCCTGTTCACTGGTTGCATTCAAACTAAATCGCCCAGCGCGTTTCGTGCAAACCATTGAGTCCATGATGAGTTCAAATGGAAAGCGATATGCGTGTCGTTCCGACTATGAGTTCCAAGCACGTGCCAACGGCTCCATACGCATGCTCACCAATAACTACTACGAGGATGCGGGATGCAGTCTTAATGAGAATGTCGTCGATTTCCTCACGCAGCCAGCACTCAAAAATGTCTATAATCTGACTGATTCGAACTATAAAGCTAAAGGCACTGCTGTAAAAACAGATGCACCTAGTTCAACGTGGTGTCGGGCACCAGGATCAGCAGAAGGTAAGTTGAAGAAGATATATCATGGCTCAGGACTGCTCCGGTCAAATTCTAAATTCTCATTGTTAATGCGTAACGCTCCGGTTTCCTTATTTGAATTCACAGCCATTGCCATGACTGAGACGGCACTGGAGAACATCGCCTTTGCCTGCAAATTGGATCCAGCTGATGTGAGACTTGTAAATCTGCGACCGGGAAGCAAAATGGTGCAGCTTCTTCCTCGATTTTTGACTTCCACGGAGTACCGTAAGCGCCGGGAGCAAATTAATTTGTTCAATGCTCAGAATCGATGGCGCAAGCGTGGCTTAGGACTAGCTTTGATGGAGTTTCCTCTAACTGTGGACATTGCTTTGGCTTACCCTGCGACGGTAGCCATTTATCATACGGATGGCTCTGTGGTTATTTCACATGGAGGCATCGAGATCGGTCAGGGCATAAACACAAAGGTAGCTCAGGTCGCTGCCTTCGTGCTAGGCGTTCCACTTGAACGTATTCGCATAGAGAGCAGCAATACGATCATAGCAGCCAATTCCTTTGTGACTGCCAACTCTATGGCAAGCGAGCTGGTTGGTATTGCCGTACGCAAGTCTTGCGATAAGCTGAACGAACGTCTGAAGCCGGTTAAACGTAGGTTGGGATCCCAGGCCACCTGGCAACAAGTAGTGGAGGCCGCCTTCACCCAATCTATCAGCTTGATTGCCACTGAATCGTTTAAAATGGGCGATCAAAGCAACTACAGCATCTACGGCATAAGTTTGAGCGAGTTAGAAGTGGACATACTGACTGGGAACCACTTAATAAGCCGTGTAGACATCCTAGAGGATGCGGGCGAGAGTCTTAGTCCCAACGTTGATGTTGGGCAAGTAGAAGGAGCTTTTGTCATGGGTCTGGGCTATTACTTAACCGAGCATCTGGTCTACGATCGCCAGACAGGTCGCCTCCTCACAAACCGTACCTGGAACTATCATCCTCCAGGTGCCAAGGATATACCCATTGATTTCCGCATTGAGCTGCTGCAAAAAAGTCCCAACCCCGTGGGCTTTTTGCGCTCAAAGGCCACGGGAGAGCCAGCCCTATGTCTGGCGGTTGGGGTACTCTTCGCTCTCCAACATGCCATACAAGCAGCCAGGCAGGATGCCGGATTGCCTCGCGAATGGGTCAGACTGGGCGCGCCCACCACGCCCGAAACAGTAATGCTTTCTGCAGGTAACGAAGTCCAACATTTTACCTTACAATAAATTGACAATATATATTCTTAACTGTTAATATAATAAACAATTGAAATTCCATTTTTATGGTGTACGGGTGCTTTCCTAAAATCATTTGTTTAATTTATATATCTGGCATTTAACGAGATTTTACTTGTTTAAGTACCATAGTTTTTCCAGCACTAGCCCTTGAGCACTTAAAAACAATTTATGATATTATTTTGCCGTTGAGAATACGATATAGACTTTTTGATGGTCTGCTTAGATATAGATAAGGCAACAGTATACCAGCAATGCCTAATAAATATGAGAGCTCACGGATTGCTGGCCACAGTAGCATTAGAAGCGGAGTTGAGTGAACATTGCGTTGATTGCAGTACGTTATGAAATACATTGCTGCAAATACTTAAAAAAATACCCGATAAAATTCATTTTGTTAAGTGACTCACGGTATTTTCTTGAATATCAGCTTTAATATACTCGATAAGTATCTAAATGGACAATTAGAGTTGTGTGATTCCGTTCTATCGAACAAGTTGTTGAAATGAACTTATGAATTAAGTGATTGTCAAATGTTGACAATTAGCGTTTATTACAATTTTTCAAATTGCATTTTTTTGTGCATTTGTACTATTTAATGTGCATGTTTACATTTGAGTGATGGCGCATATAACATATAATGTATTATCTACTTAGATTTTAGTTCACCGTGAGCTATCAGAACTGATCTTCAAGGTTGTCAGACTTCGCAAAACTGAACGAATGTGGCACAATCAGCTGTTTTTTGTTTACATGCTTCTTGCTTTTAAGTTATGAATGACTTACCTAGGCTTATTTGTTGTTGTTTCCATAGGCTTGACTATGTTAGCAGCAAATAATACTGGAGATGTGGACACTTTTACAGCTATGGAGCTAATCGAAATTCTCCTCGAATTTGTGGACAATACCCAAGAGCCCCAGTTAAAGCGACTTATACAATATGTATGTGGCTTGCTTAATACAAGCAATCCTGAAAATGGGCAATTGGCATCGAAATTGATTCGAAAGCTGTTTGCAGTGATAGTACCCAACCCAAAGGACGATGGACAATTACAGATAAATAACCTGGAACTGATTTCGGACTTTCTTCTATGCGTACAAATGTGGACGAGTCAATTCCCAAAAGAAGACCAGCTTCTCTTGGCAGAACTCTGTTCCAACAGTTCAAACACCGGGAATCAGGTGCTCGGGCAATTATTTGAAGATATTTTACGCGAATTAGGAGCTAAATGTATCACGCCTTCAAAGCTTTATTGCCGTATACAGAAGCTGCTCGAATCGAAGAATAATGAGAAACGTTATTCTGGTTATTTGATTCTACAGAAGTTACTCGACAAGACTAGTTCCGAAAACCTGGATTTGTACTCCTATATAAGTGTAATGGAATGCCTGAAATCTGATCAAAAATCAGTACCCTTATCCCTGCTAAAGGAAAAAAATATAGATGGTAACTGCACGCATATAATATATATGCGATTATTGCAAAACAAAAATATTCATTTGCTGCTTACCATCATCGAGTTCATCATGGATCACTTTACTGCTGCCGAACTCTTCAGTGCAAATCTGCTGGTCGAGTTCCTTTCAGCTACCAACTGTCTGGAACTGCACAACATGGAGGCCCATCATATTCAAGAGAGCAAAATGATTAACTTTGTAGCTGAAAACGATAATAAACAGTTCCTGAAGGCCTTTGCCGAGGTGGCCTGGACTGGCGTGAGCCTGCATCGCTGGCTAAATAGTCTAGACCCGAAGAGCCAGCCTCTAATCAAAAACACTCTGCTGCTAAAATTAGCTGCCCACGTACGAAAAATAGAAAATATCAATCTACGAATCAGTGTCGGCAATCGCTTCTGTGATGTGTTTGAGGTAAACGAATTAAATGTTATGTATATTAAATATAGTTTAAGCACAAATTGCATTTCAGAACACACTCGAAAGTTTGTCTTTGGCCCATTTTATGACATTTGTTAAAGCGCTTCATCAAGACGACGACAATGTTTGCGGAACCCTTATAGTAATACTAGAAAAAAAAATCGAGAGCTGTAAAGACATGAAAGAAGAAATGGTTCATCTTACAAGGAGCACCTACGAGATTTTCGCTGATACGCAGAATAACAACAATCTGTATTCTCCACTTATACAGCTAGTGGAAAAACTCGAAACCGTGCCAATAAATTTGCACGGCTGGTGGCGTCTGCCCGTATTTTTTACCACTTTCCATTTAAAGGAAGCCAGAGAATTCCTTGTTATGAAATATAATATAAATGTTGATTTGGTCTCCGACAGTAAGGACCTGAACGAGCTACAGCAACACCTAATTGACAAGTTAAATTGCGAAACCGCAGAGGAGATACTTTTTGTAAAGCAACGAAGCCTTCACAGTTTTCTTGAAAAAAATGTGTGTACTTGGAGTCAGCTTGAAGAATTCAACTTGAATCCTATTGAAATTTTGGAAATTGGCTCGTTCAATACATTATCGCATATGGGACATCTATTGGAACGTCATGACAAAAAGCTACCCGATGAGAAAGTAATTGACATTTATTATGCCCAGTTATATAAACATTCCAGACGTTGGATAAAGTAAGTACAGCAGTATGTCTGGTCATTATACAGAGAAGGTAGTTATTCCCGGGAATAGGTTTAGCATTTCAAGTCTATAGATTCATTAGTGGTTTTTGTGTTCATACAGAAAGACAGCATAGTATACCTGCCTGAGAATAATTAACTGATTTTCTTTTCAGTCCTGGAAGAATATTAACTTATATATCCAATTACCGACAGCCTAATGAAATGGAAACTCTAGTTGAAACATTAATTTCGAATAGTAATGACGGTTGGGAACTGGGAGGAATTCTTTATATAACCAGTTTTGTATTACAATCTACGTTAATCAGTGGATTACTTTATTTCGCAATTCCGACGGGCTTGGAGCGGTGAGAATACCTTTATTATTTAAATGTAATTAAAATACATTTATTTTTTATAATTTTAAAGCATCGAGAGTGCATATCTAAACAGCTTATCGACCTGGAACACAGTAGAACAAATTAAATGCAGTAATTTTATAACGTATGTGAGTCGTATGGAAACAGGACGCACGGATTTATTTGATAAAATGTTAAATATAATCTTGGACGTTAGTCAAAAGGAAATTGTTGAAAACTCACAACACCATAGAATACAAATGCGTTTCCTTAGAGCAATTCTGAGTCTTGAATGTTATTGTGAAACCCAATTAGAGTATTGGAATGACAAGCTCTGGATAGCCCTGTTAAATCCGACGAATCCATTGAATATCAGATTGCTGTTCGAATGTCTGGTAGCAAAATTTGTGCCAACATTCGACCTGTTAATGGAAAAGCTGGCGACTCTTAGTACCCTGCAAACCGATCAACAAGAGTCAATCATATCTGTTGTCCACATATATTGTATATGCAAATGGGATACATTAAAAGTGGATCAATTACAATTAGTATTCGAGCTGCTTTGGCTACACGCTAATTCTGTACAATTTAACCAGCTGGTGCTACGCAGATTGGCTGATAGATTTGAGAAGAGCAAGTGAGGCGTACATTATTACATCATTTACATCATATATATTTCTTATATTTAAACTTTCTCTCATTAATTAATTTAGTGTTGAAGTTCCTTTGGTCGGTGGTACAAAACCTAATCTGGAATTGTTAATTGATGACAAGAATTTAGAGTTTCAAACAGATGTCCGCCTGTTGATACCCAAAATAGTACAGTATTTTTATATAGCCAACGCAATCCTCTATATCACAAATGCACCATTTGATGAATACGAAAACCCCAAATGGTCTTATTCCCAAGCCGAAATGGAAGAACTTGACCAGTTGCGCAGCATGTTTAAGGCCAAAAGTCTTGAAGTTTAAAGTTCATATGACATTTTTTTAATTTTAAAAATATGTATTAATCAATTGTAGTGACACACACATGCTTATGTACTGTTATTGAGACAAATATTTTGTGAACATTTTTAAATATAATTGTTTACAATTTAATTTGAGGCATTTGTTTCATTTATCATGGTACCGACGAATTAATCGGTTTTCGAACGATCTGGCAGCCTTCGAACTATATAACCCGTTACGCTGTATTTAAATAGTACACACAATTGATTTATTACTTTCCTTTTTGTATGGCAAAAATGAATACAAAAAAATTAAATATTAATTTATGTATGTATAAAAAGCTTAAAGCAAACTATAAATGTATATGTAATTGGCTGCTCGTTGCTTAATGCATGCAGCATTCATCTACTACATACGTATTTTAATCTAGCTTATGCAAATCTCTTTAATTTTAAACTGAAACAATAATTATATGTGTGAGTAAGGTGCATGAAGTCAATTGAATCATATATATGTATAATATACATTATATATATGTATAATATACATTCTCATTTGCGTCTGATTTTTAAGTCAAAAGAGAACTTTGCATAAGCTAGTAAACTGATCGATCGGTCAGTAAGATAATTAGAAAAAATAAAATTTTTGATTGTTTTTGTTTTAAATAACTCATACAATATTTTGTGCTGGTATTTGTTGTTGAATTTAGCACCACAAAAAATAAATATACGAACAGTGAGCTTTTCGTTCAATTTTCATTTCTCTTTTCTTGTGGAAATTTTCTAATGGAATTATGTTTGTGCGTGTGTGAATGTATTTATGGGGGGAACGAAATTGACGCGGCTGGTATTTGATATATATATATATCTTTAAAATTATACGAATTACAAGGCCGACCAGTTAAACAAAAATTAAACAATTAGATACAAATATCGTATATCGTTTTAAGCACGGTACACACACAAATAACATAATTTAGAATTTGGTTTTACTTTCGTGCTCACTGAAAACGAATGGTTATTCAAAAATACGCTGTCGCAGCAGCTTAACCAAGGCAGTTACAATAGTATTCATAGTTATTTATACGTGTTCGGCATACACGCGATTGTATTAATATTAAAAAGGCGCCACAAAACATTTCAAAACGACACACAAGTTGCACAAAAATGATTTGACATACAATAAAACTTTAGTTGCTTAAATTAATTACAATTTTGTTCATCCTCCCATCAATTGCACCAACCTAACACGCGAACTAGTGCGTGTGCACGTCTGCGCGTGTGGGTGGGTGCATGCGTATTTGTGCGTAAACTAAATGCCGCACTGACAAATAGCGCAAAATATGTAAACTGCTGCATTTATCTGGCACACACAACAAACACACAGGCACACACACACAACGCACAAACCGGACAGGCGTTAATGAAAAAATAAAAAAAACCAATGCGAGGCCATTTAGAGCATCTTACATTTAAATCTGCGGTTCGGCTTATTCGTTTTGCGTCCTTTTCGTCCCTTATTATCCTTATCTTTGCGTATTTCGCGCACCAATGTGTAAAATGCATCATCGACGCCCATGCGCGTCTTGGCTGATGTTTCGATATATGGAATGCCATATTGCTTGGCCACCTATAAATGGACAAATTTATACAAATATAAATATATATATTATATATATATATATATATATATATATATATATATATATATGTGTGTATTCAACGAATTTATGGTATGCTAATTGATTACCTCTCGTGCTTGCTCGTTTTGCACATTCCACGAAGGCAGATCACATTTATTGCCCACAAGCACCATTGGCACCTCCTCGGCATCCTTGACTCGTTTGATTTGCTCGCGATATGTACCAATATCTTCAAAAGATTTAGCACTATTCACAGCAAACACCAGCAGGAAACCCTCGCCGGTGCGCATATACTGATCACGCATTGCGGAATATTCTTCTTGACCGGCGGTATCCAGAATATCCAGCAAGCAGGTTTCACCATCTGACGTTCAAATTTGAAAAACATTTGAATATAAATTAATCGACAATCGTAATCGATTTACGCAATACCTACCAATAACCACTTGCTTTCGATATGAGTCCTCGATTGTGGGATCGTATTCATCCACAAAATGATTTTGGATAAGTTGTATGGTTAGCGCCGATTTGCCAACACCGCCGGCACCAACAACAACTAACTTGTATTCCGTCATTTGGCTTCGTTCGCTCCGTAGTGCCTGCCGATGTTTACAATTGCAGTCGTAAGTCGTATAAATGTGTGCGTATGTAAGTGTGTGGGTTTGTTGGCGCGTGTGCTGGTATTGGTATGCGTGTGTTCCTCGCCCCACTCAAAAATGAGAGCTGCAACTGAAGATTGCGGCGACTGCAAGTAAAGTAGATATACACAAATTATTATTAATTAAAAATGATTAAAATAAATTAAGCGCATAATTAAGCATAATTTAATGTGAGTCAGAGTAGTTTTTGGCTGCGGACAAGCTTATAAATTTTTCTTTGCCGCTCACACACATCGCACTCACACACTTGCACGCACTTATCCACACGAGAGGGAGAGATGACAATGACTCAAGCGTTGCACAGACCTTTTGCGAATAACGACATTACTTCCTTTAATTGCACAATTTAAATAAATAATTTTTTGCAAGTTGTTGATGAAACTTATACACCACAATTATTTGTCAGTTTCCTGGCTGCAGTGCAGGCTTATCTATGTATGTGTGTGTGTTCCTGTGTAAGTGTAAGTGTGCAAGTGTATGTATGTATGCTGCCGGACCTTCTTTGTTGCCGTCGCTTAAATTGGCTCCTCCTTGTTTTAATTTTTCTGCTCACATCAATTCGAACTAATCAACTTTTAATTGTTTACTTATATAGAGCTTAATACTATAGCACTTTTTCTTCTATCAATAACTATAATTATAATTTGTACGTAATAAAAATTTCCGACTTTATGTTTTCTTGTCGAAAGAATTTTTTATATCGCCGTATTTTTGTAAGTGTTGACTAATCTCGCGTGCTACTTGCTATTTTGCAGCACTGCTGCTAAATTGCCATAAAATAATCGGTACCATTATAGTACATTCCGATAAAACAGTACAAATATTTTTAATAAATTTAAAGTTTGTTATATATCGTTATATGGCGTTTTATATGTATAGATCTGAATGTTGCTTCTTACTAAGGTGCATAATTATAACCAATTAAATATTAATACTAATCATGTCATAACTTATCGACAGAATATGGTAATGCATTCAAAGTCGAGTAAAAAACTAGTTTCGATAGTTCTTCGATTCCAAAACAATTCAACGGGCAAAAAGCAGCATGCTACCAGTGCAAAATGTTTAATAAACTAGAATTTAACAATTTGGTAAGTAACAAAATCAAATTGAAGTGTGAACAATTATTACAAATATTTGCAAATAGGTAATTACCAATAAAAAGAAAATATTACAAGCGCGAACGCAAACTATTTCAAAACTGGTAAATAAATTGCGCAAATTAAAAGAAGCATTGAAGAATCAACCTGATAACGAAAAGTCTCAGGATCGCTTACGGAAAACTGTAGAATGCATGACTGAACTTAAGTCGCTCAAATGCGTGGACATAATTCGCACGCTGCTGCTGCAAGAAGGCAAAAATCACAAGACTGTGCTGACCAATGGCCGCGCAACGCCGGATGAGATAGCCATCGCTATGTTGGGCTTAAACAAAGTCATGCAAATGCTTGTGGCAACATTTAAAAAAGCTTTAGATTTAAGTAATAAAGCCAATGTAAATTGGCGTATTGCAATATTGGAGACTAGCAAACGACGTCTTAAACTTGAACGCACCGAGGAAAAGCGACGCAAACGTAAAGAACTCAAAGAACAGAAATTGCAGACACGCAATCGCCTTGAATGGTTGGAACAAAATCAACCAGGACAGGATAATTGCGAAGCAAATGCGGGAAATATTAATACTGTAGCTGGCAAATGTGTTGTTGAAAGGCAGTTAAACAAAGATAATCACGTAAAGCCTAAACTGAAAACAAAAACTACTCTATTGCAAACACCGAAAGTACAAGCGAAATCAAAGAAACGAAAAGATGAACAAACTGAGCTTGTAAAGCATACAAAATTAAAGTCTGATGACAATAAAAAGCAACCAAAAAAAGTAGTTGTCCCGAAAGTAGAAAATAAGTCAAATCATACAGATGCGGCTGTCCCGCTTAAGCATAATGAAACCACGGCCATAGAAAACAAGGCAGCATTTAATGATAATGGCAACAGATCCAAGAAACCGGAAAAAGAGCGACCTACTCATGTAGTCGATCCCTTTTTCATAACAGAATCGGGCCAGCCATATTTGTCAACAGCAGTAGTTCTATCCGACGATAGCAATAATGAAGCAGATGATGATGAGCACCAAAATTCTATGGAACGACATAAACATAAGCCGCTGGTCAAAAAGCAAGACTATAACAATACGCGATTCAATGAACGCCATCCTTCTTGGCTCTCCAAAGAGAAGCAAACCCCAGTTATAAGCAATTTTAAGGGAAAGAAAACCAAGTTTAGTGAAAATGGAGACATTGCAGAAACGTCAATTGCTCAACCAGAGTTTACAGCTCCAGCTCCAGCTCCAGCCAACACAGAGGGAATGCATCCTTCTTGGGTAGCCAAACAAAAGCTGAAGCCTAAAATTGCCGCATTCACTGGCAAAAAAATAAAATTTGATGATTAACTTTTGAATAGTTTAGTTTACTTGTGTTATGTTTATTGTAATTAAATATTGAACATTTCTTAACCATCAACCTTGGGTACAAAATGCCCGCGTGCCTTGTCGGTCCTGCGTAGTTTCTCGATGTCCACATCGGAATACTTCCGTTTCAAAAGCTCTATGTCAAAGTGAGGATTCCTTCTCAATATCATCATGACTTCATTGCGCGAGCGGCTAAAACAAATAAATTTTTTTTTAGATAAAACCATTGTTTTGTGCAAATTGTTCTCCACATACTTTTTGGCTTTGCGTTTCACATTGTAGAGCTTCTCGCGATATTTCAACAGGAATTTGTGGACAGCACGTCCGCCGTACCCTAAATTACGTGACTTAATCCATTTGGTGTTCATGAAGGGTGGCAGAACATGCTCGCATGACTTGTATGTGCAGCGCAGTCCGAATGCATTATGCATTTGCTTCTGGGGACGTTCGCCCGTCTCCCCTGTCTCGAGCAGATGATAAGCTCTGTTGCGTTCACGTACAACTGTCTCTAGATTCTCCATGGATATTTTTACCTTATCGATGCGTTCGGGATTGGGAAAGATTTCCATTTTATCATCGCATTCGTGTTCCATAGTTAGCAGCATGTTACGCTCCTTGAGCAGAATGTACCATAGCTGATGCAGTTCCTTATTGGACTTAATGCGCAGTTCATCCGGACGCCAGGCGCGTCCCACTTTCACTTCATTTTCGCTCCAATGCTTAGGATCGTCAAAGAACTCCATGAGCCGCTCATGCCGTACTGGAGCCGTTGTGTGCACGCCGCATTTTTGTAGAGAGCCAACAGCTGCTTGACTGTGTATTATATAAAAAACAACGCACGAGCCAATAGTTGAAATACATTTTTTAAAAGATTATTTGACTAACCTCCAAGCTGGTAATTGACTTCGTGGTGTAGTCAACAAACTTTTGAACGCCACTACGCTCACGGTCTTCGCTACATTGAAACATTTAATTAATGTTGAAGACATGTTTTCCAAATTAAATTCAGCCTCAGCTGTCCGGCATTTAGAGATGTGTATATGCTATTACGATTTAAGTGGACTTACCAAAAATATCATGTTATCGATAGTAATTCGGGTTAAGCTTATTGTCTCTTTATTGCTTGTTGCCACTGTGGTTAATCAGTTATTTTAAGAAATACCAATCATTGCAGATAAACATTTTTTTACACAATGAAAGGTAAAAGGAATAGCTTTTGGTAAAATTATTAAGTCTGTTATGTACTTAATTTTTAACAAATTTAATAACACTGTCTGTTACTCAACACTTGTTGACTAACAATCAAAATCGGCACATCACTAGTCAGATAGAAGTACGACGCGTTCTGCTATGTGAGTGTATGTTAATTGTGCGCGTTAGTGAAAAAAATTATATTACAAGTAGTTTGATTTCCAAATGAAAAAAACTTAAAACTAATGTGGATGTGTACAAGCAATATTTAATAATAAAATGTAAGTTTAATTTAATGTAAAAATTATCAAATTTGTTGTATTAAAATTGGCTAGCTTTATGCCGTCCCCCAACCAAATATATATATATATATATATATATATATATATATATATATATATGTATGTGTGCATGTGTCTATACATATATATACTTGATATGCAGGAACGCTACAGCAAATGTGTGTGAACGTGTTTGGATACGTGCTTGTGTTTGTGTTTTTGGTTTATTAAGTACACAATTTAAACTGATAAAAATTGCACAGAGCCACTAAAATGGGATTGCTGTAACAAGCGGGTGGCAAAAAGTGAATTGTTAAATCGTTCGTTCGTCAAAGTCGATCTATTTTCAGTGCACTATAATTTAATTTGTGCAAAAAAAGCAACTCATTCATTGACAAAACAAAACACATTAAGAGTGGGCGAGAGTAGGCGATGTAGTAATCCCACGACAGTGTTGTCGTGCTTCTCTTGTGTTTATGTTACAAATGGTAGGAGTTGTGCTTGTTATCAGCTGGATTGGCCATTAATGTTAAAACTTAAATAATATTAACTGTAGCCGCTAAAAGTTTCGTAATACCTATAGAAAATACGGGTAAAGAAGTATAACGACAGTGCTGTCGTGCGACCTAAAAAGGAGTCGAGTGCCAACTATTCTTGTACTGCATAAAGTATGTATGTATATGTGCGGTTTCAACGCACATATGTATATGTACTTAAATGTAAGCACGTCTTCGGCGTCTACCACCATTTTTGTTATTTATATTATTGATTTAACGCCTTTCGTTCCATTCTTATGTAAAATGAGCAATTGTCGCTACTGCAGTCAATTTAATTGAAAGGTCAATAATATAGTGTACAGAGAGTGAATTGATGAATCAATTGTACTGTGGATGAGGCTATTGGTGTTGAAAGCAGAACAGCGCTTTGTAAAGTTTTTTTTTTGTATATTTCGCTTTTACTTTCTGTTTCGTCTTTACCGATAAGACACGCAGCAGCGGCGGCGGCGGCTTCGCTGCGGTTCACGCCCAAAACATAATCGCAACTGCCACAAGGGCGTATGCTTATGTGTTTTGTGTGCTAAGTCAGCCAAGGTTAATTCATTGGGTCTCACAAGAATAAGGCGGGTCTTAGCTAATTTTGGCTATATTCTTATGTCAGCCATAAATATACTGTAATTAGTCAATAGCTGTAAAGGTCCAAATCCTATCATATATATATATATATATAGACATATATGCATTTCCGCCCCTATTTTCGTAAAACTTATCGATACAAAAGAGTACATTTATCGATATGCGGCAAATGACACCTGTTGCATACACTTGAGAGAAACTGGTATAAAGAGAGAGGGAGTTTTTGTCATAATTGCGTTCAATATTCTCGCTGCAATGTATAACAGCACGTGAATATGTTTCAAGTGCGTGTGTGAGTATATATGTAAACAGAAATGTAAATATATACACATGTTTTAATGGCCATCTCGCGTAATTAGCAAATGCTACCCAAATATAGCAATGAATGGCGAAAAAAATAGGAAGTCTTCTATTTGTTTTTATCTTTATTTATATTTTTATCAAGTTTTGTTTATAACAATACATGGCTGAAAAGCATATATAGTACTTATTTATTTATTGTATCTGGGTAATTTAATAATTCTTTTATTGGGGGTGTTTGCATTACTATGTTTTGCTTATCAGGTAGATACATATATATATATATATATATATATATATATATATATATATATGTATGTATGTATGTGTGTGTGTCTACAGCCAGACGCCCCATTTCAAATCATGACAAATTATCAATTGGCTGTCGACTATTTTGACCTTAAGTATACATCATAATTATTATCTTGTATTAAATTTTTAAGTGTATTTTCGTACTGGATTTTGAGCTAGGTAATGCCAATGACAACTTAAGTATTCGCATAGTGTTATCATAGATAATACCAATATACATTATATAAATGAGGACTACCATAAATAAGGCAGTCCTCTTAACAGTGTGTAAAAACGTTTCGTAGCATAAATGTTATCGATAACGATCGCAAGAACAGCTCCCATAAATGTTATGAATACCGTTCACAAAGAAACAATAATGACAATGACTGCGGCATCAGAAGCTGTAAGAGCAGAACACTTGAGTTAATAACTTAATTAAGCAAGCATATCACAAATTGCAAAATAAAGCCGGCTACAAATGCAAAACTGTAATAAGCTGGCAAACTATGAGATGTTCATATTATGCTTTTTCTCTCTCCCTTTTTCTCTTTCTCTCGCATTCTGCACGCGAATAGCTCGAAATGTCGCAAGAAGCAGCAGCAACCACAACTAATGTCAGTCTGGCAACACCGTCATCAAATAGTGACGACAAATGTCGCAAGCGCGCTTTGTCACGTTCAGAGCCGAAATCCATAATCGAAATACACATATCTAATGAGATTCACAGCAGCGATAACAGCTGTAAACGTGCCAATTTGGAACCAGATCCTCAAGCAGACATGGAACAGCAGCAAGAACAGCTTCAGCATCAGCAGCAAGAGCATCAGCAGCCAATCAATGTTATCGAACTAAGCATTGAGGAACAGCAGCGTGACAGCGATAATCGCGCCAGTTGCCAAATCTTTTTGCAGCATTTGCCCTGCTTTAAGCTGCAGCAATTGATTACATTGACGCCCATACCGAAATGTCGTGAATGTCGACGCCGTAATATACTGCCGGCAGCAACAACAGCATCAGTTGGTGGCATTGGCAGCAGTACCAGCAACAACAGCAATAATAATGATATCTACTGTCGCTTCTATGAGTTTCGACGCCTCCAATACAATGCCGCCGGAGAGTTAACTGTTGCCGGTTTTCCCAATCCCTACCAGGAGCCGAAAAGCGCTGACTACGCCATTTGGCAGCCCGATTCAAATACTGCGCCTACCGCTGGCTTTATGGATATACAAGTGTGTCGATACATTTTGTTGCATGCTGGCGATCAGTTTTGCTATCTGTGGCGCCAGGAGGCGGAGGCGTTGAAGCTGCACGAGAATCCCGATGGTACGATTGCTTGGAAGAAAGCTGTGCAGGGAATACGTGAAATTTGCGATGTTTGCGACACGACACTATTCAACTATCACTGGACATGCAGTAAGTGTGGCTTCGGTGTGTGCATCGATTGCTACAAAGATCGCAAAGAAGGACTACAAAAAAAGCGACGAGTCGAAGCTCAGCGAGGTCACGATGCTTATCACTGGCTGCTCTGTACCGACAACGACAAGCAGGAGCAGCACACATTGCCCGAGCTGATGTTGACCCAAATCATTGCAGGCGATGCACTGAATGTGCTTGGCCGCTTGTTGCACGAGGTGCGCACGTTGTGGCAGGTGCCGCAAGTGTGTGGCTGCTTGCTCAGCAAACAGCAAATAAAGGACGAGCAGTTGACAGAGCTTATTCAAGACATGATCAAGGAATCGCAGCTGAAGCAACAAACTAGCGCCTCTTCCCTGGCCACGGCTCAGAAGGTGCAGCAGCAACAGCGGCTGGAGCAGCTGCACGCTAAGAAGTTGGAATTCGCGCGACAAAATGGCATTGACTATGTGCCCGGTCGCGTCTGGACAAAGGAAACACTCGGCAAGGATCCTATCACAACTGCTTTTGATAACTTTAAGCACATCAACTTTCTGCGCAAAGGTCTCGCTGGCTTGCGGCGGTTTTTGCCACCACGCGCCATGACCCTGGCGCATTCGACGCAACTGGCACCTGGCGTTCCGCATGAATGGCTGTGCGATGGCAAATTGTTGCGTCTCACCGATCCTATGCATCCCGATAATCGGGTACTTTTCCAAGAGGTGTGGAAATGTGGGCAGCCCGTTATGATATCCGAGGTGGCACGTTCACTCAATCTGGACCTTTGGCATCCCCAGGCCTTTTGCCGTGATTTTGGCGATAAGCCGAACGATTTGATAAACTGTCTCAATGGCAATTTGGTGCCCAATCAGCCGATGCGTCACTTTTGGGAGGGTTTCCAGTGCATGCACAAGCGCCTGCTCGATGTTAATGGGAAGCCGATGCTGCTGAAGCTCAAAGATTGGCCACCCGGCGATGATTTCGCCGAAATATTGCCCACACGTTTTGCGGATCTGATGCGGGGTCTGCCCATGCCAGAGTATACGCTGCGCACGGGCAATCTCAATATAGCTAGCTGCTTGCCTAAAATGTTTGTGCCACCCGATTTGGGGCCGAAGATGTATAATGCTTATGGCTCGGCATTGCATCCCGATAAGGGCACTACCAATTTACATCTGGACATATCAGATGCAGTCAACATAATGGTCTATGTGGGCATACCTTCGGATGAGGACAGCAAGCCGCAGCTGGCGGCCACACAGCGTGCTATAGCCCTGGGCGGCTGTGAATATATCACACGCGCTCGTTGCCAGTCGCCAGATGTTCTGCCTGGTGCGTTGTGGCACATCTTCCCGGCACGTGATGCGGACAAAATACGCGATCTGCTTAATCGCGTCACCTTGGAGAAGGGCTTTAGACTGGAGCCGGATCATGATCCCATACACGATCAAAACTGGTATCTCGATGACAAGTTGCGTGCGCGTCTGTTCAAAGAGTATGGCGTGGAGGGCTATCCGATTGTCCAGTGCTTGGGCGATGCAGTCTTCATACCTGCAGGTGCGCCGCATCAGGTGCAGAACTTGCACAACTGCATCAAGGTAGCCGAGGATTTTGTTTCGCCAGAGAATATTACGCACTGCTATCATCTGACACATGAGTTCAGGCGGCTCTCCCATTCACACACCAATCACGAGGATAAGCTCCAGATCAAGAACATTATCTATCACGCCATTAAGGATTGCTGCACTATATTGACTCGTGCACTGGAGGAACGCATTGATCTAGAATTGGCCAAGGCGCAGGCTGAACAATAGACCCCCTTAGCGAACACCTTTTCGTATTTTAAAAGAATTATTGTACTCTTGTCCGAGCTAACAAGATTTACTATGTACTTAGTTTGCTTAAGTTATATTTAAGCATAGATATACTCTGCAAAACTTAATGTATAACTGTATTATATGGATTTCGGAAAATGTATTTGATGAACGCAATTCGTATTTTAATTTAATTTTAATAAAAATAAAAAAATAAAGCGTTATAAATTTATAATTATAAGGTTTACTTTATTTGGATATTATGGCTTGATGCCTCAGCTAATATTCAAAATCTTTACCTCTAATGATCCTCTTTTCCATGAAAGAGCACATAATTTATTTATAAATATTTTGAGAGATTATTAATGTTAGATTTAAATTTGTTTACTTGCAGCAGCTAACAGGGATATCAAATAAGGGAGATTCTCTGAAACCAATGCGTCCGAAGCGTGCTAAAGACGAAATTGATAATGATCATGGTAAAGATGACGATGAGATCAGCCAGCATTGTACCACTGTGCTCCACACTGTTGAGCCATTAGGTATTCGGTACAGGGATTGGGTAACCAAGTCAATTATATAGCCACGGAGACGACTAAGACGACGACGAAAAAAACAACAAAGCCAAAGGCATAACCAACAACAAGCAAAAGCAAAGCATTTTTAATTATAATTATTATTCCCGTGGCCCTAGAATTTTGTAAAAATTAGTTTTTAAGGCAAACACTCAAAATGACGGTGGATTTCAATGATTATTTTTGGGTGAGTTGCTGCCAATGAAGACGTAGTAACAATTTCTATTCAAAAAGATCAATTGTTTTCTGTGCAGGGTGAGAAGAACAATGGATTCGATGTGCTGTATCATAATATGAAGTTTGGGCTGGTAGCCAGCAAGGAGCTGTCCGAGTTTCTGCGCGAGAAATCCAACATCGAGGAGCAGAACTCGAAGATGATGTCCAAGTTGGCTCATAAGGCCAGTACGGGCACATTGAACAGCACCTTTGCACCGGTATGGACCATACTGCGCACCTCAGCGGAGAAGCTGTCTACGCTGCACATGCAAATGGTACAGAAATTGACGGAGCTGGTCAAGGATGTGGCCAAATATGCCGATGAGCTGCACAAGAAACACAAGTGTGTCAAGGAGGAGGAATCGCACACGCTCGAGTGCGTTCAGGCCATACAAACCTCAACGGTTGCTGTGCAGAAGCTGCGCGATTTATATGCCAGCAAGGTGCTCGAGCTGGAAAAGCTGCGAAAGGACAACGGCTCACACAAGGACGCCGAGAAGCTGGAGAGTAAGCTTAAGAAACTGCAGGAGGATTATAAAGCGCTGCTCGATAAGCATAATCCGATCAAGAATGAGTTTGAGCGACGCATGACGCAAACGTGCAAGGTATGTGAGGCAGCAAAAGTAATCTAGAGCATTATAAAATCAAAGTTTCTATTGCACAGCGTTTCCAAGAAATCGAGGAAGTGCATCTGCGTCAAATGAAGGAGTTTCTATCGACGTACTTGGAAATGCTGCAGAATAATCACGACATGGTCGGCCAAGTGCACTCCGACTTCAAGCGCCAATTTGTGGACATGTCCGTGGATAAACTACTCGAGCAATTTGTGTTAAACAAATATACAGGTCTCGAGAAGCCTGGTATGTACATTCGGGATTGTCCAATTCAAGGTCCACTCTAGTACATCTTGCGTTCTGTTCCAACTGTTATTAACATAGCTGTCGCTGCTAAGGGCAATAACAGCAGCTGACAACTAGCAGCAAGCGACTGTTATTGTTATATCGCGAAAAACTGTTAATTAACAGTTCATTGCTATGTTAATTCAGTTGTTAAGGCCGGTGTTAGTAAACAAGTTAAATAGTAAAATATTTTAAACGTAAAACTAAATACTGTCAGTTATTAACCTTCTAATCACAGAAATGCTCGAGCTGGAGTTCATTTCGCTGTCAAGTGCATCACGTCTACAGCAGCCGCCGCAGGTATCGGGCACGGCATCAAATTCGAACTCGGCAACCAGCATTCAAGCGGCTTTGCGCACCGGTGGTTCTGCAGCAGCCGCTTCAGGTAGCCTGGTATCGATGGACCAGCGAGGCGGTGCCGGTGTTGGCGACGCACTTGCGGGCATCTCGCTGGGCAGCGGCAGTGCGGCCAGCGGCAGCATACCCTATGCAGACGATGCGATGCTGGGTAGCGTGGGTGGTGGTCCATCATCGCCGCGTCCAACTTCGCCAGAAACGTTAGGCGCACAGCCGCCGCAAACGAGCGCCGCGACATCGACGGTGAAGAGTCTGCGCTCCTGGTTTATGCCGACGGCTAGCAAACAGCAAGCGCAGCAGAATGCTAGCTCTGTTGGGACTGGGAATTTCGGTATGCCTGGCAACAGCAACAGTAACAGCTCCAACAACAACAATTACAACAACACGAACATCACAACAACAACAAGCGCCAACTCGAACACCAACAACACCACAGCAACCGGCACAAATAATTTCACCACCAATGTCACCAACAAAAATATCCCTAACTCAGAGCTTCTGGATACTACTAGTACTCAAGGTTCATTTCTTATTATTATTTTTCTTTCTTAGTCAATGCTTTTCATTTGTTTCTTTAATAACGGTACAAGTCTCTCTCCGTATGTGTATAATTTGTGTTATTTTATGTCAACTATCATAAATTCTATCTTCTATCGTAAATTGCTTAACTCGCCCATTCTACTTTCAAGTGCATAACTCTAAGGGAAAAGCTAGCTTTCTATACCTGTAACTAGATAGGACTATGTCAAAAAGTATTTTAATATGTACTAGGATTCAGTTAACGTACAGCATTAAAGACAGTTATTTAGTTCTGAGTGTATAAGAAATACAATTAAGAGCTTGCTAAATTTTTTAATGCGAACCGTAAAATTCTGAGCAGTTTTTAAATAATTTGAATCAGTTTTTTTTATTGAAATTTAATGAAAATGTCATATAAGTTAAAACTAGACTTTAAAACTTAAGACACCTGGCGTAAATAGAGGGTCTGTAGTTTCTATCTATATTCGAAATTATTTTGAAAGATTTTCCAATGAATATTTTCCAGAGGAAACTTGTCTGTTTTTAATAATATTTTCTTAGCTATTTGCTGCAATATTTTTAGAATAATTAATTTATTTTTTCTTAATTTTGATTTAAATTTATGTTTTGTTTTAATTTTGTAATATTTATACTCATGTATATACATATTTGTGATTATTTATGTTAATTTTATGTTCTTATATGCTCTATGAAACGTACACTCAAACACCAGCCAAAAGCCCAATGTTTACAGTCTATATACACCCACGCACACACACACAAGCACAAAGACACACACACAATGATTAACTTCGCAACAACTAACAACATTTTCAACGCTTCTCTGTTTTGCACTTTTGTGTCTCGCTTTTTGCACGCCGACAACATCCAACACATCATTTGCTCATTCAATGAATACCATTCATTTCATTATCACTTCGATCATCCATGCACCACCGATCAAACTAATTGAAATTAAAAACTTTAGATCAGCAGCAGCAGCAACAACAACAACAAGAACAACAACAGCAGCCGAATGAGGTCTTAACACCAACTGCTAGTGCAGCTGATAGAAAGCAAATGAATGCAACGACAAGCGATCAACAATTATCGAAATCATTAAACGAGCACGATCATCTAAATCATCAGCAACAACAACAACAACAACAGACTGCAGTGGGCAACAACGTAGCCCCAACAACAACAACGTCCAGACGTACAACGTCACTTTTAAATATATTCACATCAAACTCTCAGGGTAAATGCCAAAATAAACATACAGTGACTACCTTCCCTCCAAAAGCAAACCGAAACCAATCCAATCCGTATCCAAACACATAATTATATATAAAAATATATATATATGCATCAGTATTATACATAAATATGTATATTCACGTGTATATATGTATAAAGTATAAAGTACAAATTTTCAATGCTTTTATGCACGGCTGTTTATTTAGTATTAAATATGTCTAACATCTTCACTAAATCATTTGTTGCACTTTATCTAAGGCGGTGTTTGAGTTGAGTTAAGAATCTTTATAAACGATTTCAATACTTTGTTTAGTGTTGCCCAACACTATGCTTCAATCTACGCCTTTTAATACAGAAAAAGTTCAGTGTTAAAAGAATTCAAAGTTTTTGGAATAAAATATGTTTTCTAACAAATGAACTGAAACATTTAAAAAATGTTTGAAAATATATAAATTTTTCACTTTCAATTTCTTTGAGAACTAATTTTCATATTTATCATATTTAAAAAATTTATAAAATATTCATTTGTTTTTTAAACTTAAACTTAAACTGAACTTGGTGTCAATTGGCGTAGCTTGCGAAACTTTTAAGTTAGACTTATACATAGTATAGTTTATAATGTTTGTTGTAGCGCTTGTTGTCCTTGTAGAGCCAAGAATTGCTATTGCATTTCCTATTCCTTAAACTAACTTTTTTATGAATAATATTTCGAAATAGTTTCGGGCATTTTGCGTAGTAGACGCGACAAGGCAAAAACTAAAAAATCAAAGAAGAAAAAAGACAACGAGGCTGCAGATCACAATATACAGGAGGAGCGCTTGGCCAGGTAAACTATTGAATTTTTATTACAATTATTTGGCGTGAAATCAATTTGATTTTCTTTTTATTTGAAGTGCGGAACGTGGGAATAACACCTTGTTGGACTATGATGATCATGGACGCAGCATGAAGACGCAGAATTCTAGCGGTAGCAGCGCAGGCGGTGGTCTGGCCGCCCTATCAGCCACGTCGGCCCAAGGCAGCGTTGATTCGGCGGGAGCCAGTAGCATGGGTGGCAGCGGAGGCGGCGTGGGCGTAGCAGGGACCCTGGCCAATGTCAGCAGCAACTCTGGTGTGGGCGGAGCAAATGCAAGTGCAATTGGAGCAGGCGCTTCCGGAGCCAATGCCAGTGGCAGCGGTTATGAGGTAGACGAGGAGGGTTTTAGCATACAACCAGCTAAGGAAATAGCCTGGGAGGAGGGCCACGATAAATGTAAGCTAAATATTTGGAATGCTCTAAACCATATTGAATATTTACTAAATGAGCCACTTCTTTAGCAGCTGGCAGCTTCTACACCGACTCAGACTCGGATTCGGATACCGACAAGCGACGCATTCATGTGAAGATTAAGCCACTCAACAATGGACAGGCGCCCATGTCGGCCAGCGTCGATGAGCTGAGGGCAACCGTTGAAAACATTTCGCTATCACCTACGGGCGTTTTTGCGGTAAATAAAATTCGTTCATAAGAACCAGAACTGTTAGCAAGCAGAATGTTAGTTAATGGCTCTGGTGTTAACATGAAATGCTAAGCTAACAGCCACTGTTAAATCACTAAAGCTATTAATAAGGCAAACGTAATGTTAGCGTGTTTAGCTCAAACGTTAAATATTTATTGTTAACAGTTGCTCAAAACTAGATACTAATTAAAGTAATTTACAGCATCACAGCCAGCAACTGCAAGGTGCACAACGCGGCGCACCTGCATCTCGGCAACAATCACCAGAGATATCGAATGCTTCAACGCCCACGGCAAGCGTGCACCCATATGCGCCACTGCAAAGTCCCACGCTCTCCAACAATAATGCAAATAATAATGCTAGCCACAATCGCTATGCGGATCTGGGCGATATATTCTCGGAGCTGGGCGAAATGAGCGTCTCTGCGCCAACATCGGCGACGTTTAGCAAGCCGCCAGGGCGGCAGATACCAACGCCCACGTCTGGTGGCAGTAGCATTGCCATACCACGACCTCCATCCCGTCGTTCGGATATGATTGCCATTGGCCCAGCAGCATCTGCTGTGGCTGCGGCTGCTGCAGCGGGAGCAACAAGTCTTGGACGTGGACGGATGAGTCCAGCGCCGGCAATGAATCGAGCAGACAGTATTGGCAGTCTAGAGTTTCGCACCGCCATTGGGGGCATGGGCTCATCTCGCGGACCATCGCCGCTGACAATCGGCATATCGGATACAATACCCCTTGCTGTGGCATTCCATGAGATTATACACGCCTACTTCAGGGGCAGCGATGAGTCGCGTTGTCAGGTGAAGGTGTCCGGTGATATGATGCTATCATTCCCAGCCGGCATTGCCGGCCTGTTAGCCAATAATCCAAATCCAGCCAAGCTGGGCTTTCGCATTAAACAAGTACAAAATCTGGAGAGTCTTGTGCCCAATGGGAAACTTGTGCAAATGTAAGTAAAATTAACATTGAATGCTCCCAATGCTTGCGTTAACCTAATTCGTTCACAGAGATCGTCAACAGTCGAGCGCGCTGAGCACGTTGTTGGAGTTTAATATGCCTGCGTTGACCGCATTATTGCGAAGACAGGCGGAAAAAAATCCAAATGCCTCATATTTCAATGTGGACATACTCAAGTATCAGGTGCGCACCAAACCTGGCGCCAGTTCATGTCCCTTTCAGCTGGTCAGCTACTGGAAGTGTGAGCCTAGCTATACGGCGCTCAAGGTTGACTACAAATACAATAATCATGCCATGGCCAACGCGTCTCCCTTGTTGAATGTCACGCTCTCTGTGCCGGTGAATGGCTCTGTGCGCATTGTTCAGTCTAAGCCGCATTCATCCTGGTAAATCAACCGTAGGGCAAGATTGCATTTCCGTCTGTAATTTATTATTTTTGTAATGTAGGTTGGGCGAATCGAATCGCTTGGTTTGGAACTTTACGGACATATCGCAGAATTCACAGGATGGCGGCGTAGGTACGCTTCGTGCACGGCTCGAGCTGAATGATGGGCCCTCAACGCCGGCCACGCTGGCCGCACAGTTTAATTGCGAGGGTACCACACTCTCGGGCATTGAGTTTGAATTGCAAGGCAGTGGATATCGATTGTCCTTGGTCAAAAGACGTTTTGTTTCTGGTGCGTACATTTTGTTGCCATTTGTAAAGTAAATTCTCATCAGTTTGTATTTTTAGGTAAATATGTATGCGAGGGTGATGGCATTCGCAGTGGTGCTACGCCCACACCGCCCTCTGTGGGATCGACTAGTCCGTATTCAGCTAAATCGAATTAGCGAGGCAATTGGCTTGTGAAAACCCTAGCGAAATTTGTATCTAAATCTGAAAATTGAAAACTAAAAAATGACTTAAAAATTTTGTAATACAAGTTGGGCGTTGAGCATAAATTGGTAGAGGATGTTATTGGACTCACCTGTGTTTAGCTATTTTCCGTTTTGGGTTATTCATTATGATGTATTTTTGTATCACTTGTACTGTTGAATCTGATTGAATTGGATGGCCTGTTTTAGTGTAGCCGTAACAACTGGATGTATTATTTGTTATATTTATATACACTATATATTATATATATATTATATGCTTAGAAATGTATTTATTATGTTTAATTGAATATGATGTAAACAAAACGTATGTATGTAGCTATGTAGATATCTAAAAACAACACACACTCCGACACTCTCATACACCACATACTACAGCGTGTAAAAGAACGTTGATTTTATGTTCACTTTTGTAAACACAATCACACAACACCAAATGTATTAAAATTAATGCAAGATTTAAAAATAGTTGGTTTTTCTCATAACATGGCAGCAAATGTTAAATATTAAGTTAACAGAGCTTTTGGGGCTCAGCTTGCCAATGTTAAATGCCAATATAGAATTTTGGTTATCGATAAATTAATGGTTTTTAAAATGAAGTAAAAAGTGTTCAATATTACGATAAAAACTACAAGTATTATGATATATTAAGGTATCTTTTGGCTTATGTGGGTTGTTTTTTTTTCTTAAGCACGTAGGAGCTGCCTAGACAGCTATTTATGCTAACGCGCGCATAAGACAACGCACAAAATGTCACCAAAACGCGTTGGCGCCGCTTTAGAGCGTCAGATGTTTTTCTGTTGCTTAATTAACAAAAATACATTCGCAAACACACATATGTACGCACACGCATACTAAGCATATTAGCAAGAGAACATGACAAACCGGTTTCGCTTTCGGCGAGCCATTAAAAAAAGGAAATTAGCTGCAGCCAAAAAAAAAAAAAAACAATTTAAATTATCGCGTGCGACTAATGAAATAGAAATCTAAAGAAATTTCGTGGGTGCAAAGTGTTTTTGAAGTTATGCATAGAATTTCAGCTTGTAAATTGTAGTTGAGATCTATTTTAATGATATACCGATTGGCACATACAATAAACAGCTGTCGCTGTCTTGTCTGTGGTGCCTGTTGCGCCAGTTGTTGACGCATGACGTCATCATGGCACAAATTGATTTCAAGGTCGTCAGCCGGTCGCATTTTCATTTCACTTGACATGCTTCGGCTCCTGCTGGCTGTCGCTGCCTCTGTTGATGTTGTTATTTGTTTAGTTTGTAAACTGCATAAAGCCATTACGATTTAGCGGAATTTTTATGCACACAATAAATTGAACAATTAATGGATAAAAAGTACTTAGAACTTCCGAATGATACGTAGCGCAGTAAAGTGCATATGTACAGAGATATATGTATTAACCACATACACATACATATATGGGAAAATTATATAGTAGTTTGCAAACGATAAGATTAAATAACAAAACAAATGTAGCAGACAGCCATTGTGTACGTTTGAGCTACGAGTACATATTTTTATATATAACAATATACGACCTTATATACATATATCTAGCAGACACTTTAATTGCTTGACAAAAGCGTCAGCCACAACAATTGTTACATGTGTTTGTTGATATTTGCCCATTGTACTCTAGCTCGGAATTAGAACACGCTGGCAAAGACAATAAAAATATGTGCTTAAATTACAAACAGATGCTGCCAATTAAGTATAATGGCAAATTATTTATTAATTATCCATGTTTCCGGAGCTCTTAATATAAATATGTAACTATATATATATATACATATTTTTTGATTCATTAAATATTAGAATTCAGACAGAAAGCTTGGCTGCTACCCTAGAGTACTTAAGATCTTTATTGAAATGTTGAATCACGTCGATCTGATTGATAATTTATCCACCTTCCTATAATCGATAAGAATCGATATTCTAGCTAGTTAGCTCAAAAATACTTGGAAGTCGAACTTTAAATAGACTAAAAATATTTTCAATTCCGCATACGTTTTCCCATTGCCCCAAGTATGTGTGTGTGCATATATGTGGAGCTGTGTATATATGTATATAAGCTAGAAAAGCTGATATTAGAGAGCTCTGTTTTATCTAGACTATGAAGTAAACATCCTTAGATAAGTAGAAAAATGCTTGCATTCGTTAGAGATATTCCTTTTCAACATCATTGCACTTTATTTATATTGACTCTGCATTAGTAGATCTTTAAACTAGCACACATTAATTATTATAGATATACATTTTGTATATCATATAAACATATATTACGTATAGCTCTATAAATTATATGGCAAACTTGTGTTGGGTTTGCATTAATATTTTTTTATTTTATGTTTGTTGTAAATTAAATTAACATTTATTACGTTCCGTTCGTGTCTCTTAACATAGATTATTTGTATCAAAAAAACGTGTATGGATACATGTGCGTTATATAGATTAGCTTTCATCTGATATATGTTAGACTTTAACACTAGATTATGCAACAGAAAAATAAATATGCAGTCAGGGCATATTTGATTTCTTTCAGGTATCTTAATTCGTTTTTAATCTGTGCACTGTGGAGCAAATTTCATAATAAACTTAAAATATATTTAAGAAATTTTTAAATATTTTGAAAATGGTAAAATTCTGTAATTTTATATAGGCTACTCGCTTTCCCCATCATTTAACATTAGCAAACATATATACAATAAATTGTTTAAGGTTTAATGTACAAGGATATCGAGAATTTGTATAATGTATTGATAAATATATATTTTTACTTATATTTTATTTCATTTTGTTTTTAAATTTATTACATATACTTTGCTCCACTGTGCACTTAGCCATCCGACAAATTTTAACTGACATCATTTTGGTTAATTTATTTATTTTTCGTGTTATATTTTGTTATTGCTTGTTGCTTTCGTGTAATGTTCGTGCTCTTCTACGTGACATTTGTAATTTATGTGCGCTGCACAACACTGTTCAGCTCTAACGGTAAGCCGCCTGAAATAAAATAAAAATGGCAAAAAGAAATTGTATTTAGTAAAACATAAGAGGTCATAGAAATATATATAATCTATACATGTTTATTATATATATAAATATATATAGTTTATATATGCATATATATATATTTTATATATTATAGATAATATATGCATATAAGCTTTAATTACTTAATTGTAGATCAAACGATTCATTTAATCGGGCTAATCGACAGTGTCAGAAGGAAGGAGAAATGGAGGAGGCAGAAGTGTAAAGAGAGGCAGACAGAGAGAGAGGGAGAGAATGAGAAAAGAGAGTGAATTGACGTCTGTTTACTCTTAAGCTTTAAGCGATTTTATTTCTATTTTTAGAATTTTCAATTAAATTTACTGTTACTTTTATACGCGAACTCTGTGAAATCGCAAAAGGCAAAATAGAAAACAAAGTAAAAAATGAGAGAAAAAAAAAGAAAAAATCAAATTCAAAAACACGTCTGGAATTAATTTTTTGCCGCCGTTCGCTTTTGCGTTTTCTAAAATGCGCAATTGGCGGACGTCTAAATGCGTATTTCCACTGAATTTATTTAAACATTTGTGCTATATACGATTCTTGCTAATAGTAATGTATATAAAACTATATTTATTTGTCTTTTATGGTTGGCGCGAGATGCCAACAGTTTACCTTGAGATGTGTGAGAGTTATTTGAAGGATATTTTGATATAGACGAGTGTGAAAAAGATTTAAAATGCCATTTAGAAACACTGGAAATGTGCTTAAGAGTGTTGGAAAACAACAACTTGTTAACCATATTTTGGGAGGACATCAGAAAAGTTCACTTTATACAATTTTTGAAGCTTTTTGCGATAAGATATAGTCAAATTAATCGAAAGCTGAAATTTGCCATCATTTATATTGACACTTAATACAGCCGGGCTGTCTGAAACTTTATTATAATAGAACAGCGACAAATTGAGCCGGCGAATGATAGCGAATGTGTTACGTGAGTAATCAGAAAAACTGGCCCATAAGCATGCCCCTGCACAGTCCCGATGCGAACCTTATCGGGCAACCGCAACGCCTGACCGTGAAGCGGGCGAACTAATCAAGAATATATATGTATATATATATATATATATATATATATATATATATATATAGATACACGGCGAAATGCCTTAAATGTAGTTCTACATAGTAGGTGTGTGTGGGCCCATTAGGCAATCGGCTACCATATAATCAGCTAATCATCTAAGCTGACGCTCTCGACACCAGATCGAGAATCAATCCAATTTGTATTCTACATCATATTTTGGGCACTGACTCATGCCACAAACTTCCGTTGCGAAAAAGAACGCGTCTAACGTAACGTAATGTGTTTTGGACTGTGTTTATGCGGCCCTGCTACAGTGGATATATGCATATGAAGACCATAAAACAAACAAACAGGGGCGGTTGGGGGGTCGGGGGAGAAGGCGTTGCTATATGTTAAATAAACAAACAAGGGGAAAAGCTAAAAGAAACGCCTAAGAAACTGAAACAATTTTAATCGTTTCCCGTTCGACGCTAAAAATGATGGAACTTTTACATGTACAGTGAATAATCTAGATGAAGGAAATAAGAAACCAATTGAAATATTCGGCGCTTTACTAGTTTTAGTTTCACTTCTCGGTCAGCTGCCTAAATCAACCAGAATACAAACAAACTTTCTAGCGAAGTTTTCTAGATCTTTTTCGAACAATCGTAGACTGGTTCACTTCTATGAGTGTCTACTGTAATTGAATGCACGTCAAAGGCTGCCACACCCAAGACCAATAGCAATTTGGCTCGACTTTATGGCCCACCACCAGCTACTCACCTACTGGGCCTTTGGCTGGTGGCACACTGCCCTGTCCGGCCGCTCCTCAAAGCACGTAGTTGCGCTGCTTCTCGACGGGCAGCGTGCGATTGGCAAAGGAGACAATCGCTGCTGCGGGTTGGGCGACCGTTAGCTCGCAGAAGACATGGCACTGATTGTCCTTGGAGCTGTGCGATCGGCGGGCGACAAAGGCGAAGATGGTCTTCTTGTCGGCTTCGTTTCCATTGTTGTTCCACGTGCGACTCTCCGGATCGATGGCACAGTGGGAGATGACATCGGCCGTGTAGTGCTTGCGGAAGAACTTCTTGCGTGTGTTGTCCGTCAGCGTGATGCCCTGTCCGGTGACCTTGAAGTGCACCTCAGTGGGCGTCGGCAGCGACTTCTGGGCGTACATCTGCCGAATGGCCTTGCGTATGGCCTCGTTGCCAGTCAGCGACTCCGTATCGCAGCTGTAGAGCCACAGCACATTGGTCGCGGCACCATGGTTAAGCAGTTGCTGCTGGGCCGGGTTGGTGGCAGCCAGAGTGGGCACTATATCCGCATCGGGTATGCGCAGCAGGCAGGGCAGCGCCAGCTTGTTTATGGAATGCTCATAGATC